AGTATCTGCTTCCTAACATAAAGTATCTTTTGAAGTTGTTTTGTAAATAATATGTACCAGATAATATATATAATATATACACAAATAAATGTGAATAAACCAAAATAAATATGGTTGGGCTTCACTTAATTGAACTCTATTGAAACGACAATAGAAGATAAAATCCAAACAAATAATATATGTTTCTATGGCCTAAAAAGAAGCTAATGCTTAAAATTTTATCTACAAAAATCAATAAGAAGAATTACTAGAAAATACTTATAATAAATAATAATATAATTATAATTTAAAAAAAGAAAACATATATTTATATCTAAACTTGAATCAATCTAAATAGAATTTGACAAATGCCATAAATATTATTTATATATATATCAGATTTCACACTAATGGAAAAAATATGTTCAAATCGGTTTACAGTGCCTATTAGATGAAGCTAACCTACTTCCATTACGCAGGCAATTATTCAACATATGTTCCCGACCAAACGTATAAAGATATATTGATCTATTGCAACTTCCAATTAATTTCCAAAGACTTCTATGCGTTGAAACTGTGGGTTTGTTGTTGCTTGATTGTACCGTTTTTAAAATCTAGATAAAGTACTGAAATATCGATTGTGTAATTTAAACCAGTCTAAGAGTTATGTATTACTAAGATAGGTCATCATGAAGATCAATAGTTACTGGAGACTCCCGTCTTTCAAAAGATGAAGTACTCGATTAAAATACTTTTTGATAAGAATTATACAAATATGAAAAATTTGTATTTAGAGTATATCTACTCTAACTGTAGTATCAAAAATAATTCAATGATGAGTTAGTATATCCCTAAAATGTAACAACTTCGTTATAATTGAACTGGGTTCTTACTGCATTTGCTTTGTTAATAAATTTATTTCGAGTGATTCAGCTATCAACTGAAAGATAAGTTGAAAACATATACGTTATAATGAAAAAAAAACTGTTTACTAATCGTGTGTAATCTCATACTCGTACTGCACGGAGTTCAAAAAACATTTCAATTATCAAAACTTATTTAGTTTTTTTTTAAAAATTGAATATTAAATGTGATTTATAAGCACGTAGTGGTACGTTTGCTTCATGTATAGGAAATTAACGATTTTTTACGATTTACTTAATCTGCAGACTTCTATTAAGTATACGAACAGAAAGTAGATTGTTTTGATAAATGAATTGTATAGCTTGCATACCATTTTATTATAAGAATAAAATAAATAATAATAAAATAATTTTCAAATCTACATATAAATTTTACCCTAATTTGTTTTTCAGCAGAATTACAATATTTGACGTTTGAACATCAAATATTTTTCATCAAAATATCTCCCAACTTTTTGACGACTTTTTCCCATTTCGCGATTGGAACCATTATTGTTTTATAGTTTATCTCGAAGTTTCATATTTGAAGACGGGACACAGGCAGCTCTATTGTTACAGTTGTGTTATGTTACAGTTATGTTATAGAACTGTTATAGCTTCCCACAAAAAACTTTCCAATTTTTGTCAGGCAATAACGCTTTACATACGTCGCTTTCGTGGTTAGTTACAGTACTTCTTCTCTTGATGAGTCTCATTATCTTTCCTTTAATTTCTTACTTCAACTAATAATTGCTGTTAATTGCTGACATTAGAAATTCTAATTATTCGAATTCGAAATTCGAATTATATCTCCTTTAGTTTCTTACTTCGACTAACAATTGCTGTTAATTGCTGACAGTAGAAATTCAAATCATTCGAATTCGAAATTCGAATTATCTCTCCTTTAATTTCTAATTTCAACTAACAATTGCTGTCAATTGCTGACAGTAGAAATTCGAATCACCATCGTATGGGTATTACCACAGTGACTTTTAATACATGTGACCCTTGAAGTTTCGCCAATATCACAATCTCGTCTTTATCATCATTTGCGGCACTTCATGTCTTTTCAACCGAGAAAATTTTCATACGACATTATCATAGTCCACTCTTCATTACCAGTTAACATAAGCTTCGCGAATTTCTTCTATTTCAAATGCGAATAAAATCGAATTAATGGAGATTCAATTCAATGAATCCTCCACAGTCAATTCATAAAAAAAACAATCTGTTCTGCTTTATACAACTGTTTTGAAACATTATTGTAGTTGATCTTTAGTTTGTATGTGGTCCTTTAAATTCATCTATAATTTGGGAATAAACAATTAAACTTAAAGTTTCAATGACGTAAATTAAGTGTGTTAAATGAATGTGTGTTAAATCTCTAGTCAACGGTGCTAATTGAACAGCGTTCAATTCCTAACACTTTCAGTCCAAAAATTTTATACGAACCCATAGACCAAAAGATGCTTCCAGAACTTATTGATGATGAATATTTGCTAGTCATCCAAAAACCTCACTTGATTAAAATTTGAAATTTAATTCACTTTTACCCGTTTTTCTATTCGAAATAGATTTATGGTTTAGGACATAATAATATTTTCGATTGCCTATAATTTCAACTACTTTTTTGGTAAATATTCGTTACGTTCACTTCATTCATTATACTGAGGTAGAAAAATTCTTGACCATTCTTTTTATGCTACTTTCAAGCACATCAAATTTTTCTTAAAAAAGTAAAAATGTACAGATATACAATTATTCCTTTCGTAAAAAATAATAAAAAATTTATTTGATGGAAATCGACAAAAATGTCAGTTAACTAATATAGCTTAAACTCAAATCCACTCTTAGGTAGTTGGATGATATTGATATTTAATGGCCGGTTTGGCGGTCAAATGTCCTCTTTCGTTGATGTTGTTGGAATGTTGTTGGAATGTTGTTACAAGGTTAAAGTGAATGTCTATAGTTTGTCTCTAAGAGTTTTGGAAAGAGCTTTGATGTCGTACGCATCCAACAAAGCCTTTCAACAAGTTTCAGCACCTTTGCACTTAGTAACGATGACCGAAGAAGTTAAATGAAGTTCCAGACTTCTTTTCTACCGCACAATTATCTAATTGCCCTAATGTAAACGTGCTTGAGGAGAGCACGGAAAAATAGCTAAATGTTAGTCTGTTCTCTAAAACTTTTTTCATTAACGGTTGAAAATATCGTAAACTCATATTCTTCCGGTGTATGACTAAATCACCCACTGCCTTTTACTCGTAGTTGCAACTGCCTAGATTGACTAAGGATAAACACATCAAAACTTTTAAAATGAGTTTAAAAAATTTGATTAATTATTAACATTTTTTATGAAAAATTGCAATTCCTCTAGAGAAACAGAAAGATATTTCCTAGCATAATTCTCATTATCGGTACTCCTATCCTCTGATAGGATCCTTAGGATCCCAATACTGTTGCTGTATATTTCGAAGTTTTTTTCTGTGAGTTACAAACTAAATAAACTAATTAATTAAACTAATCGATTTTCCGTAATTTATATTGCTGAATAATTTAACAAAATAATTACGAATTTATTAATTAAAAATGACATTCCGTTTAGTTGGTAATGAGAGTAATTTCTTTAACTGTCGCTATTAATTCAAACATTTATTAAAATATATTTAATTATTATAGATTCACAGATTTTTTTAAATAAATTAACCAATTGGCAAACCAATTAACCAATAGATTATTGATGATGTAGAGGAGAGATTATAAAGGTATTTTCTAATAAGTGAAGTTGAATGGATTAGTAAAATTAGCAATGTTCTTAATTGTTTACATGAATTCAACAAATTTTTTTATACACAGTAAACTATTAAAATTTAATTGATTTAAAGTTATTAGTTATTTAATAGCTAATATTGTCGGTTACTTATCTTCATTAAAAATACATGTATGTTCAAAAAAAATATCTAATATCTAATGCTGAGGTACGTGTACATATATTCGATGGCAAGTAAATTATTAAAAGTTTACGTGTTGGTCACATAGAAATGATTTTAATAGTAAAAATCAATAATTGGTTTCTGTACTTATTTCTCATGTAGATAAAATTAGATTAAGAGAATATTGAAGACGAATAGGGCACCTTGTGATGCCCTCATATTACCCGGGGGCGGCGAATTACCCTTACCGTTATTTGCACTAATAACACCATGTATTATCCTTGTTTAACTAAACAAGCTATATAAACGAGATGCGGACTGAGCTATGTACATTACGCGATCGCACATTTGCGCCGGACACATCTAACTAACACGTCTTTCCTCTGGGTTAAAGACATCTAAAAAGTTAACCGACAAAAACAATTTTCAAAAATAATTCGACACTCCTACTTTCGAAAATCTTGTTCGACATTAATTCGAAAAATAATACTTTATAATAATTCTTTTATAATTCTTCTTTAAAAATGAAGAGAAGCAGCGTACTGAAGAAAAGTCTCTCAGAAAAAAGTATCCAAACAAAAATGGATTCCTTGAAATATCTCAAGCTTTATATGTACATATATGAGTAGGTAGCTTGCTTCAAAGCATGATAATAGAAAAACTATGATTAATAAAATAAATATATAGCGCATCAGCCACATAATGCGGCTTAAGCTTCTTGATTAAGGTTGACCGTTTTGGATGAGGCGTACCCGCATTAATGCTGAATAATTCACAAACACCCTGTATATGCACATATTAGAGAAATGTAAAGATCAGATCAAAAAACAGGAACTTTGTCAAAATGATTGACAACAACTTGAATTAATTCCGAACTAAAAACTTTCGTTATCCTCATTAATCGTCTTATTTGTTTTCTAATCCACCAATTCTCGCCTTTTAATCGCACTGACTTAGGCAAGTTGTTAAAAATCATTGCAGTCACTTAATTAGTCAGAGCCATTAAAAACATTTAATGATCTTAATTACGAAATTTATCATCATTTATCATAAATCAGTCTGAGCTGCCACTAATGTTTAGAAATAATTTCAACAATTCATTTTTTCATATATATATTTTAAACACAAAAATGCGTTTTAATTTGTTTTTGACCTTTGGTTCAACAATGACTTTATATCGCAATAGATGTGATTGATTCCTACACCGAAGATATTAGCTGCTGGAAGTGGTGATGCTATAACGCTTGCCTGCCTCTAAACTAACGATTGAAATTGCTTTGTTCTATTGTAATCTACAGTGCTGTGCTTCGGTTGCAACTTGCAATTACAGGTAAAATAAATATTTTATTGAAAGTTTTTATTATACATAATATCTACTTTTAGAAACGAATTACTTTAAATTCTTTTTATTTTTAATTTCTAAAAAATTCCACTTAACATCGTAACTCATAATGTTAATTAGCCACAGCTTTGAAATTTACGATTACAAGCCATATGAAGTCCGTCTTGTTCAGTTACAGTTTTGTCTTTAATTTAAAATGTTAGGTAACTAATGGAACTCAGCAGTGTCAGTAATTGATCTCAGGGTTATTCAAATATAAACATTCTTTCACTTGTAAGTCATGTGCTCACTACAAGACGAATGATTGCAAGGTAACCCAATACTTCACCATTAGCCAGAGACGACTATGATCTTCAAACATTTTATTGCTAGTTGAATCCAATTAAATATTTATATATTTTCTATCTGCAAACACACAAAATGTGAATATCCTTTTATAAAAAAATTTTAAATTTTAAATTTTAGCCAGTCACTTTCGTTCGTTTTCGCTCTGGTGACTGCTCTCTGCTTCGAAAAACCACGGAATACACCACGGAATCCAAATGAATAAAGTAACGTTTTTCTCTGGCTAGTTTCTGCCAGATATTTTTCTTTGGATCATTTATCCGCTACTCTCCAATAGGCCAGTACACAGTAATGATTAACATCAATTTACATACATGGCTTCCACCACGGAATACACCACGGAAACCAAATGAATAAAGTTACGTTTTTCTCTGACTAGATTCTGCCAGATATTTTTCTTTGGATCAATTACTCTCCAATAGTCCAGAACCCAGTAATGATTAACATCAATTTATATACATGAATAAAGTTACGTTTTTCTCTGGCTAGTTTCTGCAGTGACAAGAATAATCGTGAGATATTTTTCTTTGGATCACCTACTCTCCAATAGGACAGAACTCAGTAATGATTAACATCAATTTACATACATGGCTTCTATATTTATTTATCAAAGAAAATATGGTATTTACTTTAAATTGCACTCAGACAATAATTAGCGACTGTTCTTATGTATTGTACAGTAAGGCGAGGTTAATAGGTAAGGTAAGGTTAATAGGTCTTTTAATAACATGTAATCAAAAATAAAGGGTATGAGAGAACTTCTCGCTTAGCAGATCTCCTAATGATTAGTTTATCAGTCGCAGGACTTAGAACAATGAAATTCTATGCCGTTCGCTGTTTCAGCTTTGTGGTGCTAGGTAGAAGATTGTGATCCCTGTTGAGCTGTTGATTTTAACAACAAATTTGCACCTGTATTAAGCGACAGTAGATTGATTATCATTTATTGATTGATTGCAATGGTTAGTAGGTATATATTCTTTCGCTTCTGATGATTATTGACTAGTCGTCAATCGAAGACCACAATCCTTTAAACAAGTTATATTCTTCTGTTGACTGTCTTAACCTGTACAATTATTGAGTGATTATTAAGTCTGCATTAAAATGTTTAGAAGAATATACAGTTTTCTATGTGAGCTCCTTTGTGGATTGATAGTTTTCCAAAGCCTCATCACAATGTGCGAAGGACAACTCGTCAAGATCTTACATGTGTTGTTCATGACTTCTACCGATCGTTAGCCACCTGAAGCAAATAATGACAAGTGGGCCTCTATTAACAGTCCTCAGGGAAATTTAAACCGATTACTCGTTACCCGCAATTAGGCAATTCCTTTGGAAAGTGGTCTGAGCTCTAAAGCTTTAAACTTTAACAACTTTTGGATACATCTTAAGCGTTTTTACTTACTCCATAAATAATTTGCGGCATTTAATCAAAAAATGCTGTTGAAATGATTTCTAGAGATAAAATTAATATTAATTTTATATATTTACTTTTTTGGTAATGAAAATTTTTTATGTATATATAAATTTAATGGCAAAATATAAAAATTTTTAATATTTTATAATGTATATATTTAATGTGACACACCTCCGAAGTTCATTTGCGTAACCCGAAATCTCTGCGTAACCAAAAAAAAATTTTATCTGAAAGTTTTTCTTTGTTTTTATAATAAAATTGATAAAAACGAGGTAAATAATAAAAATAAAGACTTAATTACGATAATAACAAAAAGTAAATATATTTTGAGAAAATCATTTATGAAACAAAGCGAATAAATAAAACAAAGACTGTCACCGAAACAGTGAATTTGCCTGTCATTACGCAAATAATCACACGAACAAAAGTCAAAGAACCCATTAGATGACATATGCCCGCCACGGTAATCACAGCAATCGTTTAATAAACTTTGTTTAGTTTTGAATGCGAAACAGACGAAAACTGTGCCATTCGATGATGAATATTTTAACTACAATATTTCGACGTTGGAGACAATTGCCTATGGACGTGCAGTAGAAAGCTTCGGAAATTTGTACCCTCTTGGCTTTTATAGTCTTTAATTGTTCATTGAAACTATGATATTTTATTGATACAATTATTGTTATTATTATATATAATTGATATAATATATTATAATAAAATTATTTAAGAGCTCAGTATAGGGTTAAGGTGTAGCAAACATTAACATAGGGCGAATATTTACAAAACAACTAACATTTATAGTTCTCATCAGCTTTAGCGACATTGTACTACAAAGCATGTATGGTGTTTTGGCACATGCATAATTGTTTATTTAGTTTAATATAAAATATTTAATTGAGTTCTTTTAAATGAAGTAAGTTTTAAAACTAATTAAGAACACAACAGTAAAGAATTTCCAATTATTGAAAAAATTATGAAACATCCACTCAATTTTACAATAGATAGGTCCAAGCTTAACCTCAAAAATAAACTGTTTATTTATAAACAAATAGTAAAGCTGTAGTTTCTACAGCTTCGTTGCTCTTAACAAGCCCCACAAAACTACACTCAAAAGCCTTTAGACATACCAATCTGAAGGTATGTTATTCAACTCCGTTTTAGTAGTTAGTCGAGACCAATAATGGATACATTTGTATCTTTCATTTGGATAACATGTTTTTCTAAACATGACAGCTAAAATTACATAGTTTTGGAAAATTCCTGACCTATTGATCTACTACATTAAATAGGATTTAAATTATCAATAGGTTACCTGCTTGCGTCAATTGTTATAGTACTCGTATAACCAAAAATTATTACGGTGACAGCAGAAATGCGAAAGGTGCTCTATCCACAGTAGCCATTTTGTTTTTAATGTGCCCCCGGAATGGTTGTATTATGCTTGGACTTACTTTTTGTTAGTGATAGGAGATCTTCCTTCGTTGTTCATATTCACCATAAGCTACATTTTATAAAGACGTTGAAATATTCTTGAAGCATTCTCAATCATCTTCCACATTTTACATCCATGTATAAGAACTACTTCTATGCTCGTATAAAACCAAAATTTGTATGGCGTGGTATATACCATTATTTGTTATGATACTCTCACTTCATTTTCCGTCACTAAAGACGTAACATAATCTTTAAAGATGTGTTGTTTGAATACGCATTTAAAATACGAATACGAATTTGGTTTTTGCAGAAGTATAGAAAAGAACGACTAGTTAACCTTTTATATTATCCACTTACTTCAGATTTTCTAGATTATTGAATGTTTATGGAGGAGTTGTTCGTTTTCTTCATTCCCATGACTAGGGTAACGAGATTAAACACATGTGTTTGTGGATAATTTTTCTGGAAACATGTATTTATTCAAAAAGCTTCAATCTTTTTTGCTTTATAGAAGGCTTTTGTAGAAATGACTTCAGGAAATCCAATGCGAAGTAACACGTCTCATATCGCTTTATAATGTCAAAAGTTAGTCCGAAGTCCAGAAGTAAAGTCTAGATAGTAAAAATAGAAGTAAAATATGTAATCTACATTGCAATAATTGTTAAGCAATTATTTTAAAAAAGTTAACGTGATCTTTATGCATTATCTAGTAGGTCTGAAACCATTTTCTTATGGTAATGCCACTTCATTCGAGTTCTTTTCAATATCAGTGATGCTATAGTTTTCTGCATTGTCTTATATTCTTATTTTTCCTACAGGCGATTTATTTAATTAAATCAATATTTAATTAATATTATTTAACTAACGGTTATAACTGCCAACTAATTTAATTTAACTCCAAAACATTTCAAAAAATCTACAAAATGATTTTAATTAAGAGTGAGTTGAAGATATAAGACATATCTGACATGTTAACGATAGCAAATAGCCTGTAGGCTATATTTTTCGTAAACATTTCTCCGTAAAAAAAGTTTTAAGAAGAAGCATATCCGTATTGAATCAACAAGATTTTATTTATTCCATATTTAATCTTGAATTAGATGGACGTTATTACTAATAAAATCGACAGAACCTACAATAAGCATAGCTTAAGCCCTAGTTCATTTACATAGTCACAATTCACAGAGGTGAGCTAATTAGGATGTCAAAATTGTCAACTGAATTGATATTTCTTTCCTATATAGTGACAAAAGTCATAAAATTATTATGTAAATTTTTTAAAAGTTAATGAAAGTTAATCAAAAAAAGAATGTAAAATTATTCGTACTTATTACATCATACCAGAAGGTTTTTATTTTGAAATCGTTATCAATTAAAACACTCAAGCAAAAAATCCAATTAAATATTGTCAAGACGTTTAACAGCTATTAGTACCGCTTTTCACATTTGAGTTATGAATTTCTGATTATACCCAACCCACTTCCCGATACTTAGGTTTCTTTGCAAACCGCTCCTCGCCTATACAGTTTGCAGTGTTTCGACTTTTTTCAAATTTTGCGAGTTGTTTGGAAGTATATAATTATATATACTTATATATATAATTATATTCTTAATATTTTTAATTGTGTTTTGGATGCTCGATATTGGTCGTGTATAGAAATGCAAGTTTTAATTTAAATAATTATTTTTCAACAAATAAATAATCTAAAAGTTAATTATTGTCATGCAAATTCCATTTTAGTCTTCTCTTTTACTGTAATAAGCCCCATTTTCTGTCTGATCTAATATTTGTATTTAGCGATAGCTGCTTTGCGTGCTTGAACTATAATAGTGCTAATCATGGCACATTTATTTTAACATGATGCTAATTTTAATCTTCACCTTACAACAGCTAATAATAGAAAAAAAAATAAGCAGATATAATTATATCTTATTAGCTTAAACAATGATAAATGAAATTATATGACATTGCTTTTATATCCGTTTTCAAGACATATGCTCTACAGTACAGGGTGTCCAATTCAACTGCAACCAACTTTAAACCGCCATCAGTTTATCTCAAAATATATTACCAAAATTAATATATCAAAAATAAATTTCAATTGCTTAGCATCTCCATAGGCGTACCTCTAAACTAAAAGTTCAGTACAAAATATGTACCTTTAATTACTAATAAGAAATATTGAATTACTAATAAGAAAAGAAACAATTAAAATTATAATATATTTTTTATATATATTGATATATTGAGTTAATATAATATAATAAAATTACCATATTTGACAATTTTACAATAGATAGGCACAAGCCTAACCTCAAAAATAAACTGCTTATATATAAGCAAAAAGTAAGACTGACCTTGCTTAAAGATACGCCGTTTGTTATACCAATCTCAAGCGCTCGAAGGGAAGGATACGCTTTCATAGAAATCTCTGTTTCAATAGTTTAGCTATATGCAGTAGCAAAAAAGCTATATTCTATAAGAACAACATGGTGTTTTAGCCCCATTTGGTCTTTCTATATTTCAGAATAACAAATTAAATTATGCAATAAAACCTTCCAGAATTTTTATAAATAAATTACTCTCCTAGTGTGTCATTTTATTATAGTATTAAGAACAAGAAAGAAGAAAGATATTATGTATAACATTTGATCTCTGGTATTTAGTTGTCACATCCCCATCATGATAACTAGCTAGCTCATGAAATCTATAATAGCTCAATTTTGAAGTGTGTCAAACTATTTAAGCGGATAAATAAAATATTTTATTGTTTTTTTTTATTGAAAATTTTAAAACAAGTGCAAATATTCGCACTCGTTAAACGCTCACTTCAAGGAAAACCCGTTACTTAATTTGACCAGTAATTATCCGTCATACAACACGCAAGTGGCCCTTCAATTTTGGACACTATGCCGCACCGTGGGTCAGAATGGCGAGAAAATTTACTGAAGTCTGTGTCTTAAATGAGGTGTTATTTGATTAGAAATTATATTTTATATTAAAAAATAACTACAATTTAATATCTGGTTAAATTAATTTATTTAATTACTTATTAAAACTCAAATATCATGAGTTAGTTATCATGATGAGGGCTTCACACCCATATGGAACCCAATTAGTTCTCATTTTTAATCAAGTAAAAAAAAATTATCCAACAGAACTGTTTTATTCAATTAATAAAATTGTTAAATTGTTAATTATTTATCTGAGAAATAATTTTATTGAATTATTGCATCTAAGACTCAATTCATCAATGGTGTAAATCCTTTAGTGGAGATCTGCTACCTTACTTATTAATGAGTTTGGATTATATATATAAACAAAAAAATCGAAGATACATTTTTTGGACTTTTGTCTAACTCTGACCCACTGTGCGCCGTGCTGTTCGTTTCCCCATTTTCAATGTTCGCCACAATCAATTCCCGGGACAAATATTTACACCAAAGATTTGTTTTCATGGCAAAATATTATTAAAACGGCTAATTTTTAAATAATTTAATTACATTTAAATATATGTTGTACTCGTATCTATATTATTTCACTTCAATGTGTGTTTTATTTCCATCACATTTCAACATTTCAAATGAATGAAACTCCTTTATGAGTAGTTGTAGGTCTTACGCTGCGAAGTCAGTTTTAGTTGGACTTATAAAAAATCCAAAAATATCAAGTAAAATAAACATAAAAACTCAAATTAAAATTCATGTTGATGTTGATACGCTTTGTCACACTTCAAAAGTCTCGAACAGTCACCAAAGACTCTTCCAACAACATTGACACTCTTTGTGTATACTATCTTAAAGCACTTATGATCCCTCTCCGGTAGTAGATAGTAGTATCTTACAGAAATCAAATATTATTATCAAGCAACGATCTTTGTGGAAACCAAAAGTTATTACTGCACCGTGGAAGGAAACATATGTTGCAGCTTTACCGTAAGTAATGCAACCCAAATGATAAATTTCTCTCTCTCTTATCACTTCTTACCCTACCTAAAATAAAGAGAGTTCTAGAATTTCGAAGTAAACATCACAGTAGATGGTTGGGTGAAACTAAACCATGAGACTAACACCTACATTTAGTGTCAAAAGTATTTATAATGTAATTCATAGATCAACTTTGAGCGTTTTTTAAAATAGAAAGTTAAAGAATTAAGTATATTCCTGATTAAATCTGAATAAGATAATGTTTACGGTGACTCGCGCCAACACATAATTTGGACATCTAACTTAAAAGATGGTCGTACCAGTGTAGCTTATCGAGACCGTTGTAGAAGGCCCAAAATTGGTACCACTGGTGCAAACGTTAAAAAGTATATCAAATAGTATTATAAAATCATCGAATAAAAACTCGATAAAAACTTCGTTAAAACGATTTAGGATAACATGGATTCATAACTTTTCCACCAGACTACTACGAAGACAAAAAATAATTGAAATATGGAATTGAAGAGCGGCTACAGTACAAGTCGCGCTACTTCTTGAGCAGAAACAATTTGGAAGTCATGGATGCATCTAGTCTCTCAGACATATATACAAAATATCACTGAAGACATATCACACATTTGTTTCAATATACCATATCTTCAAAGACCACAATATAATATATATTGTTAATATATATATATATTGTATATATATACACCACAATATAAGTATTTGAATCAACCAGTCTTTAAGTTTGACTTTAAATTTTAAGAATGTTTATGATGACATCTATGTTCTCTTATTTGTTTCAAAGTATATTCAAAACACTTCATGTAAATATTTGAATCAATCAGTGTTCAAGTTTTACTTTATGTTTTCAAGATGTCTATGATCACTGAACATATATGGTATTTAGATCAATCAAGCTTTAAGTGTGACTTGAAGCTTTTAAGATATTTAAGATATGATGACGGATCTATTCAATTGGACAATTAAACGGAAATACATATAAAAACATAGATTACATCAGGCTGGCAAAAATGAAGAGAAAGTCAAGCTTTTCTTGGAATTGCAATGTGTCACATATATTCTTAATTTCATTTGTTTATTAATAATTTTATTAATAATTGATTAATTACACAAATTATTAATAATTTGTTTATTAATAAAATTACTAAACACTTCTATGTCCAATTACAATACAATCGTAATTAAGTGTAATTTCACTTATCATAATAATAAACAATCTAACATTCCATGTTCTCAGTTTGTGACTATGTAATTAAATCCCTTTTCTCATAGAAGTAATTAACAGATGGAAAAATTACAACATTTCTTTATTTTTAACTACATTATTTAATTACAGAATGAATCAGAACTGATACAATAAAATAAAGTAACAATTTGCACAAATGAAATTTTAAATAATTTTCAAATCCATTTTAACCTTATTAAATCAATTATACTATAATTAATATGTCATACAAATTAAATTTAATTGCGTCATATCAATTAGAACATATAATTATAAAACACTGGGGATAGTTTCGCTTAGGCATTTACAGATCTTTGGTATTGAAGGCCAGTACCTAATCAAACAGAAGGTATTTCAAATGTTAAGTGAAATCAATTATGTTTTCTTTTTGTTTTTGTGAAATTTACTGATTGTGAACAAAGTCAAAAACTCTTGTTCCAGTAACCCCACTGACTAAGAGGGAGACTGAACAATCTTAAAAGAAAGATTGTTGAGGAAGAAATGTCATTGTTTTGTTTGATAGTGCGAGTTAAATTCGCTTAGGAAGAGCATTCTGTAATAACCTCAGCTATATGGATAAGTAACTTAAGTACCAGTAACAGCTTTATATACTAAACTATTAGAGTCAGCTGCAGAAAGCTCATTACTGGTCATTTCAGCGTGAAAAGAGTCCTAACAAAACAAGTCTCAGTTTCTTTTAAGCCTGGCAGTCTGCATGTCAGTCCAAACAAATTATATAAGGACTATAAACTAATCAAGAAATTCGAATATTTCCTAAGATGAGTGATGATAAGTACTCGACAAAACTCGAAACAGCGTTATATGGTCAGCTAAATTTCAATAAATTAAATAAAATTTTTGTGCTGGTCTTTTTTTTGATATTCGAATCCGCCTAACTTTTAAATAGTTTCTTTGCGTTACTCTCGGCAAGAAAAAATTAACATTAAGTCTTAGTTTTGTTTACCTAACAATAGCAGCATATCATGAATATCAGGCGAAAATCTTAAAGAGTATTTCACAGAGAATACGAGTGATAAGATCTCAAAGCTTCGGAAAGATGAATATCTACATGTACCTTAAAATAGAATAATTGTAGTTCTTTTGAAGTGAAATTATAGAGGAAAATCCTTGGTTCAGTATACAGTCACCCTATATACATCGGCCTATACCATAATTACTCAAATGCTACCATTTTCTCATCTAAATTAATTGAACAAACCTTAGGTCATCCAAAAACCGACTGAGTCACATAAAATTCTTAGTTTTATGCGTTTTTTAAGAAGCAAATGTGCTTGGGAACTGGAAGTATTTTATTTCAAAAATATTTAGCAAATTAACCATCATGTAGTCATGCATCAAATTCTTGAAAGTACAGGTACTGTGTATATCTGTGGATATCTGTGTATCCACAAATATCCACCTACGTCAATGGCCATAATAAGATGTGTAATTAATTTAGAACATTTGCGTTTAAAGCGCAATTCTAATGATTCAGTTTGTTTTCCTGTTTTTTTGCGTAAATGCGCTAATTGCTTAGGCATATAAAAATATTAGTTTTCAACTTTACTTCAGAAACTTTTGCATTCATTTATTTGCGGTTCAAATTATAGATTGGAGTTTCTGACGAAAAATGACACATATCTGCCATCACCATCACTAATGTCAGCTGCCATCACCTGCCATCAATAAAACTGGCACGAAAAAATGTTGGCACAAAATTGAGGGGGACTCGCTGCTCAAAATCGCTACAAGGTGTTTGGCAAATCGAACGACGCAAACAAATTTTTACCAAAGTTGGTGCAAAACCTTTTAACACAACGGCCTTAGTGATTAGACTCCAAAAATGGATTCAACGGACACTGGCTGCAGCAATTCCTTTCACAGTACACAATCACACAGCAATCGCAGTTCACTTAATTACAGCAGCGACATAAACGCCATCAGCATCGACTTGGTTGATCAGTCAAACAATGCCGGGACTGGCTTCAAGTACCTACCATCGTGGCCACCTGTCAATTTGCAGTTCAGAGATCTAACACATACCGTACACCTTTTGGGGAATGGTAAGTACAAACTCTTTTTCTTCTTCTCACATATTCACTGTTCATTTGGAATGCTTTCATTTCGTCCAATAAGTTAACCATCAAAGGGTTCACATTTTTAAATTTCAACACTTTTAAATAATAATTAAGTAATTGATCAAATTTTTGGTTTCAAAGCTTAAAACACAATAAAGACTTACTCTGCAACTTTGGGGGTCATTTTGCAATATTGTCTACTACTCTATACTATACTCCATACTACTCTTATTGACTACATTAATCATACATATGAGTACGAGAAGTGATGAAAAAGTAACGAGAATTTTTTCAATTTATTAAAAAATTACTTATTTCATCTTTAATAACTATTTCTTATATATCTTCGATATATTCGCTTTCGATGATAGGCACTTATGCCATCTTAGTTTCCAATTTGAAAATTCTGTTGGAAAGCTTTTTTACATATGATCTTCGGATGCTCTTCGCGTCGCTTTTATTTTATATATTGTTGAAAAGCTTTGTCTTTTACGTTTAAAAAGTAGAAAAGAATCGCAATTTCTAAAGAATAGCATGTCTCCGATATTGCAATGATATTATGACCATGAATCAATATTTCTAACCAATTATTTCATATTCAAAACATCAGTAAATCTCGATTCGCATGTGCGATGTATTTCTTCACGAATCCCAGGTTTTTTCCAGGTATTATCTTCAATATATTATTGAACTTTCTAAAAATATATCCACCAATCATAGACTATTAAAAACTACCACCAATCATAGACTATTATTTTATAGAATCGTCGCGAAAGACCCATAATAGCATATTGAATCCGTCGCTGCATTTAATATAAAAACAAGCTCTTTGGTCCGACATTTTCCATATAAAAAATAATTAAATGCACTTAAGTGCATATTGCTCATTCATTCGGCAAACAAAAACAAAGTAACGTAGTCGACAGTGCAACCATTAGATAAAAACAAACTTGACTCGATAATCCATATGCAGTGATTGTAGGTAATTTAGAAAAGTACTGTTTAATTTGGTTCGCACTTTGCACTTGTTACAATGCAATTTTTAAATGACGAGAAACATAATCACATCAAAATATAATTGAGGTATACAGTATATTACAATATAGTGATAAATTATGCTTCCGATTTGTTCAAACACAAGTCAAAAGAAGCAATTGCACAAAAACACTGCACTGCTTACAACCACTTTTCAAACACAACAACTTAAGCGTGAAGAACACAAAGCCAATCTACAGCCAGATAATTAGACCAGCATTACTTTATGGGTGTATCGCGTATAACAAAGCTGCCGACTCTACTATCCAAAAGCTACAAGTTGCTCAAAGTCAGGCTCTCCGAATGCTCTTCAAAGTACCATGGTACATCCGTACGAATGACATGCTAAGAGACCTTTGAACAGATCCGGTCAAAAAATATATATGGAACAGAGCTCTGAAGGTATATGCAAAAACCACCAGGGTACCCTACTTAGCACTATCTAATCTCAGAGTAATCACTAACCGCACGGGGCGGTACGCAGATCTTAGATCAATCATTGAATACTCACGAAGATTATCAGGAATACTCAAATTAGTCAGTGAAATGGGCGGGACTCTGCAGAATCCCCCTTACTATCATACAGTAAAAGTGCCCAGATGCACTAACTCGGAAAAGGCTTAACATAAAATATAACTTGTTCAAACTTATCTTTGTATGAAATACTTAAACTACGAGTTTGTTACAAAAAATCTGAACTCAGTGGCGGAGCTAGACCAACTCTGCACGTCGGCGACACAGAATTGCGAGGCCCCCTTTATAACCCAGTTGTAAACTTTCAAGTTACATTGTTGAAAGTTTTATTGCTAATCAAATTAAAATAAATGAATTTTCGTACTTTTAGCCTCACTCAATTTTTTTTAAAATTATATCATAATTTGCGCCAGCTGCTATTTTTGCGTCAGTTTATAGAATTTCCAATGGAGATAGTCTCTCTTGGATCTTCATACTTTTCTAGTACGTCTTAATCACGTTTTTTAACTTTGAGTAGCTTCTTTCCGTCGAAGCTATACTGACTGGAACTGTGAACGTGAATCTGGTTACTATATAAACATTCGGGAATACTTCAAATATGGTTAATGCCACTATCAAACCACATTGTTCAAAATATTTAATAAGTGCTTAGAATCCACAGTCGGTAACTTTTTGCGAGGCCCCTGCGGGCGCGAGTCCGTCGGCAATCGCCGACATCGCTGACGCCTATCGACGCCACTGTCTGAACTATTACATAAAATAGATAGATAGGGGATCTTAAATAATAATTATTTTTGCTTTTTACTTTTAACAGGAATAGATATAGTTCATACGAAAGAGAATATTGCAAATTTCATTTATTTTTAACGTACTAGTGAGGTAGTCTCATCACTAAGTCTGTTAATTTAATGATGTAGAACTGTTTGCTAATTTTATTGTATCATTCTTATGTTCATACTTAGGCTAAGTACATGTATTGACATCTATTGAAAAGGGGTTGAAAACTCGTAATTTATTTATTATCTTATTATCTTATCTTGTTGTTTCTAGTGGGTCGTAAATCAAGTCTTACTCTTGTAATTAACTTCCCAATGTTTTTGTGGTGTTGTTTCTAGTGGGTTATAAATCAAGTCTTACCACTTCACTTATAAGAGTATAATTAACTTTCCAATGTTTTTCAATGTAACAATAGATTTCTTATAACTCGATGAACATTTTGTGATGCATTTCGTATATAATCAGTTTTATCTAATGGATCTTAACACATTGTCTTTACATACAAACATATATTCCTTACAAGATAATGTAAAGGGTACCAAATTGTATGCAAAAAATAAAGAAAATAATTTTTTTTCTCCTTAACAGGTTCAAAAAAGATATTATCTAACATAAATGGTGAGTTTCGTTCACACGAGCTTACAGCTATTATGGGACCGTCAGGTGCTGGGAAGACAACCCTTTTAAACTTATTGGCAGGCTATGGCACCACAAGTAAATCATCTGGACAAATATTGGTCAACAATAATCCGAGAGATTTGCGCGTATTTCGAAAAATGTCACGCTATATAATGCAAAACGATATGCTAGATCCACATTTTACCGTCTCTGAAATAATGATGTTAGCAGCTCATCTAAAATTAGGCAATGAACTTAAGAACGAACAGAAATTAGAAGTGGTGAGTCACAAAAAAAATATATAGATGATATAATAAAGATGAATAATTTTTCTCCACTAATAGATCGACGAAATTCTCTGCATGTTGCGTTTAAACAATGCAAGAAATACAAAAGCTTTGCGTCTTTCCGGTGGCGAAAAGAAACGCTTGTGTATTGCACTCGAATTGGTCAACAATCCACCTGTGGTCTTCTTAGATGAACCAACAACGTAGGTTTGAAACATTATTTGTGTATTGTTGCTTAAATTTTTATATATTTTTTAGTGGCTTAGATGATCTCTCCAGTTCACAATGTATTGCGTTACTACGTAGATTGTCTCATGCTGGCCGTACTATTATTTGCTCTATACACACACCCTCTGCCAAACTGTTCGATATGTTCGATAATGTATATATATTAGCTGAGGGCGAATGCATATACCAAGGAGCAAGTAGCAATGTTGTACCATACATGAAGCACATTGGGTTATCCTGCCCTCTTACTTATAATCCTGCCGATTTTAGTAAGTTCATTTTCAATTCTTATTAGGGTTTTTGAATATCATCTTATATATGATTTAGTAATTGAAGTGGCATGTCGAGAATATGGTAGCAGTTTTCATGCCGTAATGGTTGATGCAATCGAAAATGGGAAGACTTCACGTTGGAGTCCAGTTCATCGAACCAATTATAATGAGTTAAAATCCATGACACCTACAAAATCGGATACAACGTCGGGTGCCTCATCTTTTGACGAAATCGAACAATTTGAATTGGAAATCAATCCAAAACTGCTGAAAGCGAAGTCAAGTTGGTGGATGCAGTATAAATTACTTTTAGCTCGAATGATGATGCAAATGTGGCGCGATAAGGTAAAAGTCTGAATTGATTTATGTTATTTTCTGTAAGCAGTTATTTAATTTTCAATTACCCTAAATAAGTAGGGTAACCCATAAAACAGAAAAAAAACAAACAAAATAATAAGTAATATATAATCTTTGTTTACATGTATGAGTGCGGGCTCCTTGTAATTGATATGTTTTCAGGACTTTTTGTTGGTGAAAGTAACGAAAATATATATATTGTAGATTTGTTGGGACTTACTACATTATGTCTAAAGAAAGGTATTGTTTCCAATTATAAAAAAAATGATCAATTAAAAGTTATTTTATAGACGAACTCTAGTTCATTAAATGTAGTCTGTTAGATTAGAGTTTTTGGGAATCCAATAAGAACAATGAACTTTCAGTACGGCAATACAAAATATACTCTAAATATATGAATTAAATAGCTGCAGCGTTTATCAGACAGAACTTATATATGTTCTTAAGATATATATATCTTAAGATTAGCAAAGTTGAATATTTCCCTTTTATGGATTTCCAGTCACAGGGATTTCGGATGTCGGAACACCTTGAAATATCCCATTACCCCTTAAAGCAGTTATCGATCTCTATGCATGTTGGCTCCTCTTAATACAAAATCAAGCCATCCGTTTAAGATACTTCATAAAGATATAATTTTTATTGTAAGTTTACTGACGAATCTAGGAGATTGCAAATTCTGACATCAGCTATGAGGACAATGGAAAAAATGCTTTACATCTATTTTGTCACTTCCTAGCGCACTATAGTTTATTTTCTGATGGAACTACACTTAAAGGTAGGATACAGGACAGGCGTTTTTAAAAGTTCTATGTAGGTTAATTATTTTTAAGTCTTACACAGTTGAAAAGTAAGTCAATAAACACTTGTGGAAGCCAAGGAGCACCATAATAACATTATTAATTTAGATTCGATTTATTACATATAGAATCATTTTATTGTCATTATATCTTAATAGTGACAACAGGTTTGTTGTTAACTATCTCTGTGTATACTTTTTTCTACTTAAGGAACAAATATATTACTTGTTAGTATTGAAAACTTTCTTCTCTTCTATTCTCTTCACGTTTAAAATTTTTATTATTTTCAGTCATACATAAAATTGAAATTTTACATGAATATAGTACTAGCTCTGATAGTGGGTGGTATCTACAAGGGTATTGGCAACGATGCTACTAAGGCACTTTTCAATTTTGGATTTGCATTTACAGTGATCATCGCTTATTTGTATCTGCCATTGATGCCAGTTTTGCTGCAGTGTAAGTATTAAGAAAATAAATCCATAAAATTTTTCAGTTAAATACAATTTTGAACTAATCGTACTACTTTTTCGGATACTGCCAAAAATTGATATATCAAACTGCCTCGCTAAAGAGCTTCAGAGGAATAAAGTTGAGTTCAGGAAACATTTTTTTGGAATTGACATATATATAATGTACGGACAAGGATTCATCAAAGTAGCCTCATTTTTGACTGATTGATTATTCTGATTATTTTACAAGGACTACCTTCTTAATATCTTATACGCCAATAAGCAATGAAAAATATTCTCAAAGGAATATTTAGGGCATAATTCTACAGATCTTTAGATATCACTGACTTTATTTTCCAGTAAATAAAAACATTTACTGAAGAGTAATAGTTGGAAATATGAATTTTTGGATGAACCCCCCTATATTTCGTGGTTACTGCTCTTTTAAATATGTTCAGTACCAGAAAAGGAAAGTTTAATCAAAAATTTAGACTTCCATTAGTAATTCTTCAGCAAACTTCTTTATTGACTAAATTGAAGTATACGAAACTATGATTATTTGGAAATTTTATTTAATTAATATACGTTACCTTTGGCATAGCCGCGATTATGCTAATTAATTTAATTGTTGCAGTATTAAAATAAGAATGATGAAATTTAATTATGAATATATAAAATACTTGTTCAAATATATATTTTCAATCTGTATTTATAGTTCCCACCGAAATGAAACTAATCAAACGTGAATACTTCAATCGCTGGTATTACTTGAGTTCGTACTACGCCGCCATGGTTTGCTCGAAAATTCCATTTATGTTCGTTTTGGCTGTCATATATTTATCAATGGTCTATTGGATGAGTAGTCAACCGCTTGAACTATTTAGATTTCTAATGCTATTCTTGGTTGCCTTTCTAACAGCCATGACTTCGGATAGTCTGGGATTGTTGATAAGTTCCAGATTTAGTCTAGTAGTATGAACATATCTCTGAAACGTTAAGAAAATAATTAATAATAAATAAAAATATTTTAATTTTTTTTTAGAATGGCATGTTTATGGGCCCCGTACTTGCTGTGCCGCTTATATTGCTTTCGTGCTATGGTATAGGTTACGGTAAGGATTCATACATATCACCTTTTATGCGTTTCCTGATGTCACTTAGTTACTTGCGTCATGGTATGGAGGGACTGGTGGCAGCACTATATGATTTCAATCGCGGCGACACAGAATGTCCGAGTACGGAAGTATTCTGTATGTTCAAGAAATCTAAGTTTTTGCTTATGATTTTGGGTTTTGAGAACTTAAATTATATTTTCTCCATATCTTGTCTGGTTGGATTTTACGTTTTATTCACTGTAACCGCATATGTGATGATCAAGCAACGTCTGAGTTTGACGTCGACAACGAATATAGCAGCACAATATGTACTAGGTTTTGTTACGAAACACCTCAACTTCTCTTCTTATAATTACTGATTTCTCTGGAATATCGACAATTTGTATATTAAACTGGTACAAAATAATATTAAAAATATAGATTTATATACAAATTTTTTATGAGTATGGGAAAGTTTATTTTATAAGTTTTATATCTTTAATAAAATTCTATTTAGAACTTTTAATCGCTTATATTGTATGCCATTTTAAGAGTTTTATACCCATTTTTTGTGATTATATTGTAAAATAATTATCTAAGAGACAAAATCTTATTGAGAATATATTATTAAGCTTATGGTGTATTTCAGTGATATTAGTTTTAGGTCACTTTTTTACAAATATATTTTGAACATTATCAGTAATAAAGAATTTAAAAAAAAAACTATAAAACTATTTGTATTTTAAATTAATAACTTAAAAAAAAAAATAAAATAGTCCAACAATGGACGCACTATCACAGGCAGCTAATGTGCGAGCCTATACGATAACATAAATCCTTATAATATAGTATTATATATATAATATAATAACATAGTACATAGTATAATGTAGTATTTACCTTCACCCTTTACGGGGGTCACTATTTATATTTTGAGCCTTGTCAACAGCGATTGTTGTCAGGTGTCATCTGACATTTCCATACGAAATTTTCACATTACTAAACATAACCCACCTAAGACTTTTGTCAAAAGATCGTTACGGGTATTTGCCTTATTTATAGTGATTTGTAAATCAAGTATTCGCAAAGACGTGGAATTAACGCGAAAAAATTTTCGTACGATGATTTATTACGACTTTCGACTTTAGATATGAATTATCAAGACAAGAGACGCTGAAGTAAAATGTCCGTACTTTACCACCGTGAAACGCTGGTGCAATGATTTTAATCGTGACCGCAGTTCTCTCACTAACGAAATTCGGGAACAACTGATTCGTCCAAAATCACTTTGATGCTATGCAAAAACTAATACGAGTAATGCAAGATCGTTATACGACATACTGTGAGATTGAGGTTGCGGTCGAACCCTAGGCAATAATTTCGTCAGCATATATAAAATGTTGCATGATCATTTAGCTGTGAGAACGGCTAAATCATTCCAGTCTTATAATAAATTTTAATTAAAGAAAACCAGAGACAGAGAACTACCGAACTATAATTATCACAGAGAGAACTACCGAAATTATCAATTATCATCCCTAAAATCTATTTATAAAAAAATTGTGAAATGTCACAGCATTATTCGACAGAATAATGTTGTTATTGTTGTTGTTGTTGTTGTTGTTGTTGTTGTGATTTGATATATTGATATGCAGATGTCTGAGTTGGTGATACAACACCTTTACTCTATTTTATCTGTGGACAATTTTAAGTCACAATAAGGATAACTGAATACGGGGCTTTATAATATGATGGATCTTATATCTTTGTATCTGCCTGTGTTTATCAGAATTCGCTGAACTTTTAGGTTGCTGAGTGTTGGATTATTGTCACTGTCAATTATATTGAACAATTTCAGTGCACGGTCTTTAATGTATTTTTCGACTAAATCGACTCTCAGATCTTTGTGGATATCCGCTCTTCTTACGTACCATGGGGCGTTAACCAGTTTTCTTAAGGAGTGATTTGAATTAGTGCTATTGCGCACCATGGAGCGTTAACCAGTTTTCTTAAGGAGTGATTTGAATTAGTGCGATTGCGCACTTTTACTCTTTTGTGACTGGGGAGCTTATCCCTGCCCCCACACTAAACTTTAACTATACTAGAATCATTATCATTTATTTATCTTCTAACTGATGAAGGACCGTAGATCAGCATATCTTCCTGTGCGTCTTGAGGTGGACTTAAGGTTTGTTAGCGCGCGGTTGGGCAACGTATCAACTTTTGTGAATAATTGTAGTCAAATAATGTATATATTATATATGACATATGACCTAATCTAATCGGCTTACTTTTTCTGCTTCCAGAGAACCTCTAAATTTTGCTCCAGATTTCTATTTAACTCTTCGTCCGCTTTCCTTTCATCCACTTGATAGTTGCGTTTAAATTGCACTATCCGACAATTTATTTCCTTTAGTTTACTGCGATAGATTGCGGCTTTCTCGAAACGTCTCCACATTTTGTTTGAAATATTTTTATATTAATTTTGTTAGAAAATAGAAAAACGTTTTTTTCGAAACAATAATAAAAAATTATAAATTAAAATGATTTTATGTGGTTGACACTAAAGTTAAATAAGCAGAACCACTTCTATTTAAAATTAAGTAATTTTACATGAGCCAATAAAATTATAAACGGAAAAAGCTTAATAAGTTATGTAAAACAGAATGGAATATAGAGAGGGGCGAAGAGAAGAAGTTACCCTTGCAATTGCATTCAAACAAAAAGTTCAGAGCTAACACTGATACAGAAACAGTAGAAAGATATATACCTATATAATGTACTCAAACTGCTACGATCTTTGCAATAATTCTTTCATTCAATGCTCTTTGTATAGCTGATTCTTAACAAAGGATCTTTGTTTTCGGAACGTCTTCCGAAATGCAGATCTTTGTTGTGTCTACTTTTTACTAAAGTTGTAGATGGACTTATAGTATACTTCCCGCAAACATTTCATTAACATTTCAGGTATAGCAACCTGTATTATCCGACTGTAGTCAAGAAATTCGAAAATCAGAAAGCATTATTTAATTCATTAACGTAATTATTTTTATTCACTTTAATTGATTCTAACGTAGTTAATTTGTTACTTTCAACAATCCATTGCCGTGATAGCGTTCAAGCTTTTGAGCTATATACAAACATACGTGGGATGACTGATTTATAGACCGTAAATTTTGACAGTCGTAAGAAAGATATATATGAAATTCTTGACACCATAAGAAGTATAGTCGCCAGATAGCCACTTAAGCGATACAGTTATAGTTATAGTTATTTGTTCTTATTCGTTGTCAAAACCATTTTCGCGTTACGCCTAACGTTATCGGTGTTGTCTGTGTAAGAAAGAATTAACTATTTTAAAATATCAACTAAGGATAAGTGTGGACCTCTATTGCATTTTCAAGCCTTTCACCAATATTTCGCTACTAAATAAGAAGTCATATTTCATCATCCATTCTCACTCTCTTATATGAAATTGATAATACTGATACTGTCATTATAAGTTATATATCAGGCTTCATTAGTGGTCACACTAACTGGTTCCATATATTGACATACCTATATTATATTATGCATAAACATATATTTGCTTTTTAATAACCCATATATTTGCTTTTTAATAACCCATGCATCAAGTGTATTGTCTGGACAGTGAATTGATTGTATTGATGAAAATTCAGGGAATCTTCTTGTGCAAAGTTTCATACTATTAGCTCTAATAATCAATAAGTTTCCAAGTTCGATTTTGTCTTCTGAGGCTGATTAATAATATATAGTCGAAATATTATCCGACATCTCTTTCTGTACATCACAAACACGTAATCAGTGGCGTCGCTAGGCATCAGCGATGTCGGCGACCGCCGACGGCCTCGCGCCCGCAGGGGCCTCGCAAAAAGTTACCGACTGTGGAATCTAAGCACTTAATAAATATTTTGAGCAATTTGGTTTGATAATGGCATTAACTATATTCGAAGTATTCCCTAATGTTTATATAGTAATCAGATTCATGTTCACAGTTCCAGTGAGTATAGCTTCGATGAAAAAAAAGAAGCAAAGTTAAAATTGTTTAAGACGTACTAGAAAAATATGATGGTCCAAGAGAGACTATCTTCATTATGATATAATTTAAAAAATAATAGGGTGATACTAAAAGTAGGAAAATTCATTTATTTTAATTTGTGTTTATTTTAAATTGATTAGCAATAAAACTTTCAATCATGCTTTGTCGTATTAGTGAATGTAACTTATTTACTTTTACAACTGGGTTATAAAAGGAGCCTCGCAATTCTGATGTCGCCGACGTGCAGAGTTGGTCTAGCTCCGCCACTGCACGTGATACAGCGATCTTGTGCAACTAATGGTGTGAAAATTATAAAATGACATAGATTCTGCAATCAAACCAAAACTATATATAACCATATATAATATATATATCATATTCTATATTCAATCATGTCGTATCTATTTATGTGTAAAATAAAAATAAAAACGTTTTAGCACCATCCATCATGTTAATATGTTGAGAATATTATAGCTAAATATTATTTTTTATGTTGACTCTGCTTACACTCGTCAGCACATTGAAAAAATAATTCTTATATTATTTCAAGTTGAGCCCTGTGTAATCGTCCTTGACTTCAGATTTTGTCCCCATGACACACAATGTGGGTAACCTTCAGTCTGTGCAGCTGCGTGGAAAAATTCAATTCAGACACCAATAGATTTTGCATCAATGTATAGATCCTTCAGAAAACTATCAATAAGAAAACAAGTTACTGAACATACTTTAAATTATATATAAAAATCAATGTGCTGGACATTACACACTATTGCTTTCGCTACAATCGGCATTGGAGTATTACATTCAAAAACTTAACTACATGCTAAGAGTACTTGACTTTTACTTTACGAGTATATACTGTTCCAGATTTACGCATCCACACACATCAGTATTTTACCCACAAAAGATTAAAGGGATAGATTTTCAGTAAAAATAATAAAACAAATGCGTCCATCCATTATGGATCCATCACAAACTCCACATCTGTAGCTATTTTGAAAAAGGGTTACAAAAGGTCTCCCTACAGTAGCCATTACCTGTTCGTTTGATGGTTTTCCATAAAAGAATTATTTAAGGAGTGAAAAGAGTCAAAAGTCAGAGAAAACTAAATCAAATATATAAGCTAATTGCTGCAATAATTTATTCTTTAATTAGCTAATTTTGACTATGGAAGAACATAAATTGGAAGAACATTTATTTCTTCTGAAAACTGAATATAATTTTTTAAAGTTTTGCGTCCAATTGATCTTAAAGGTTCAAATTAGGTTACCATTCAACAAACTTTCTTTTAACCATCAAATACTTCGCCCTTATATTATTATATTATTATAAACCCGTATTCCATCAGAAACATATACTAATCGCAGGGTATTTCTGTTTAATGTTAAATATCTTAATTCGTTAAATGATTTGTTAGTTTAATGCCGGATCTTCTCCAAGTGGTACGAGACCTGCCGGGTCTTCGATTGCCTTGAGGGTTCCATTCTAAGGCAGCATGATAGACCTCTTCGTAAGGTTTTCTTCAGTTGTATTTTCGTTGTTCTATTTGCTCTTTGATGTTTCTTATATGAATTATGAAATCTCTTTTAGTGAATTGATAATATTTCAAAACGATATCCTGTATTATTACGACGATTTGTGATTTTCATGCATTTATTGGACATTTTATGTTAATCGTTTTCAAGCCTTGTACGACCATTGTTTATGAAATAGCACATTCATCTAACATATTTTCAACATTAGAATGAATTTGATTGTCTTTAAACCTGCAGAAAGTTTTTTTCCTAAAATTTAAAAAAACACCGATACGTCAAAATCAAAATTCATATATATAAGAAGTGAAGTGATAGATGGAAATTATGTCTTGGCTATGTACTTATCAGCCACGTAGCCAGAGTGGGCTTAAGAGGTTGTCTTAAAGTGGAACCATTGTTGTGAATCCTCATTGTGTCTCATAATACTACTTTCTATTTCTAAATAATGCATATGTATACTTTCATAGTATTATCAATAGTAATTTTCAACTATAAATTAAATACAAGTTGTAATTACCGACCGTACCGGTACGACATATGTACATGATTCTTAACAGAATATGTATTTTCTCTAATGGATTGTACTTGACGGTTCACTACTGCGGGCGGTGTGCATTCATGCTGAAGATACAATTTCAGCTAAAAAACCAGCAAGGAACTTGATGTCCCATTAAAAAACCAATAATTTTTTAATAAATATTAAAAAGCACATAATCTCCTTAGTAAAAAACTCGTTGATAAAAATTTTTTTAAAGAATTTTATGATCAAACTCAGCTGGTATTTCATTGTTCAGAACAATGTAAAGATGCTTCGAGCTGAAGCTGCAGCAGTCGGGCGATCAGTTAAAGACAGGACATCTGTTGATTAAGTCAAAATATATCTATAGTAATCAAAGTTATATACCAGAGTTCTTATTTTAAAAAGTTCAAGTTTTTATTTTGAAACATGAAAATTGTGGTATTCGTTTTTATATTTGCAAATATATGGGGTGAGTACCAAAGCGTATACCAATGATTAAGATACATATATCTAACAAAAGAGGGTCTCTAGAGTAAATACAATAATTCTTCTGATTTATCTAATTTTATGAAAACTGTTATGTAAAAATAATATTTTAAAAATAAATAAAATACTGTCCGTTTAAAAATTGTTCTCATTTATACCGAAATATCACTAAGGAGGAAATGATTCTGTGGCCGAAAAAACGAAAACGAAAATCATCGTTGAAAACGGGTCTACTAACCGAAACAAAAATATTCTTTATGTAAAATAAATCTAATTAATATACAATACATAAACAGAATATATACAAAATTTATGAAATTTATGAAGTCAATGAAGTTTTTTCCGAAAACATATCCAAAAACCAATATTTGGATTAACAGCTAATGTAAAACATAAGCCCTTGAAGTAATTAATTATTGAGATGTTGAAGTTTTTATGGTTGAAGTACTTCTCTGAATTGAGTTTGTTCGATATGTGCTCAGATTCCTAACTTTGAAAGACAAAATATCATCAAACCTTCAATTGCAAATCCATGAAATTAGCATATTCCCGGTATAGTCATGTATCACAATATCACAAATCTTAAAACAAATCTACATCTAAAAAGGAAATATTTTTAGGAAATAAAAAAATTTTAGAAATCAATAAATGTAATTGAATGAAAGTAATTTCAGATATGTATCTATGAGCTCATTTAGAGTCTTAAATCAATGTTCTTTCGTTCCGTCACGTTTTTCGATTGATTAGACAATAACCTCCGTTACTGTAATGCTGTATGATAGCTGCCAACAAAGAACTGAAATGCACAGCATCGCCAATGGTAGAAAACTCTCTGTCATACCTATATATATATGTACATGTACGAATACTAAGTTTCTTTTATCTTTTCCTCCTGTTTACTGGAAAGAGATCCCAGCCAGATGACTTTCAAGTCTGATGGCTGAGGTCTTCTCAACTCATTCCTAAGTGTTGGTATTTAATATATTCATTATAATACACCACAGACATATATTTCATATACCATATATCTTATATGTAGATGTAGTAAATTGAATAAAAAAATATATTAGAATTATTTAATATCTGCTCAATTTTAATTTTTTGGAACTCTTCAATTTATTGCTGTTTCGTCTAAATATAGAAATTGATATTCCATAGCCGCTAAAAAAATAACAAAAAAGATAAAAATTGAATCCTAAGTTGGTGATAATTAACTAAAAAAATAAAACGGCAGAATCGCTATGATAATGAAACCAATCCATAAAATACGTAAACAATCCAGTGAGCCAAATTGAATAGTATTGAGTTCGATATGCGCATATTAAGAATTCTTTTAGTTATTAAAAATAGATTGTTGTAGTAATACTTCTTGCAAAATTTTGATCCTTTTATTGTTATTTGATCCTATGCACACATCAGCTTCCTACCAATGCGTGCGCACTTATCGCAATCAACAGGGGCATTGCGATCCATTAACAGTTGACTTCTTAGCTGGCCTCATTGCAAAGAAGGCTCGCGAGTTGCTGCAACCGGATTTTGGAACGCGTAAGAAGACCGTACACTTCGACTTGTACACACGACTCAATCCATACGTAAAGCAACGACTGAGCTCAGTTGATCATGGAATCTTAATGAAATCGCACTTCAATGCAAGTTGGCCTATCAGGTAAGTGGAATCGTAAGTTGAAGTTAAGAATGGTTCGGTTTGTTTCATGTTTTCGTTTTTATTATAACCGTAAATGTTGTTCGCTTGAACTTTAAGTGCTCAGTTATCACTGTCGAAAACCGTTATTTTGTTATTTAAAACAAGTTTTCCATAAAAGAGTTGGTGACACATTTACTCAAAGTACATAAAATAATCTTATGAGTGCTGTGATATCATTTATTTTCTTTTCAAGGTGAGATTGACAGACGAGGTTTTTATGACAGACATTTTTTCTTCTTGTTTAGTCTTGTTTGTCAGATTTTTTCGTTCTGAGACCACGGCAACACCTCCGAAATGTGTGGTATCCGAAGAAGAAATATAAATAACAAATATAGTAAAGTCTTACTATAGAAAAGAAGAAAATGCACTCTATTTTTAAAATAGACGAAACACTGTGCTCAAGTGATATAGGTTAATAGAGTGGAAGTTTGTTAATACCATTATCAACACTTCCACTTGAAGACATATATTGCCGATGGAAATGCCCACAAGTTATCAAAGTAAAGTATGCAACTGCAAACATTTTTTCCATTATAGTTCCTTCAGATGAAGTTAGGAAGATAAGAAGGTAAGAAGGTCATGGACTAGGAGTCAATGAAGTCAATTAATTTGTAGTCCTTATGGTAGACAAAGAAAGTAATTGATAGAATCCACCTTCTCCGATAAACTCCGGCGGAATATGCCACTATTGAAGCACAATACCCTATTTGCTGAAACCCGAATGTAATATTTCATTATTTTCTAAGCTAATCTAGACTATAGAATACTAGTTTTAGCGAATAGTCTACAAATCATTCGCACCGCAATGATAAAAGGATGCATCTACTCTTTAATAAGGTTCGCACATCGGGATATATATTCATTTATGTTTATAATGGACTCTCTTCTGAAATTATTACAATACTCAATTTGATGGTTCAAGTTAAATCGTATTCATTGGTGCCTACATAACTATAAAGATATTGATTTTTTAGGGCCATCTACGCAATTATCTGCGATTACTCTTAGTGGCGTAGGCACAATGCAAACTCATAGCGTTGAGATAGGAAATATTAAAAAAAAATCTTCTTTAAGCACACTACTTATCACTCCTGAAATACTTAGGGTGGCTAGTCTCTACGCTGTTCCATTGCGAAATTATTGAATTTATACCACGTTTGTGAGCACACTAAAGATCTTCAGGAAATTGTAGGTCTAAAGATTACCTAGCACATTCCATTCTCTGAAGGTCATTTCATAGACGTAATGAGTAGTAAATTGCTTATTATTGCTTCTTAACAGATTGGCATAAATCCATTTAACTTTTTCTTGTTCTTGAAGCTAAAGTTAACACCTCGAAGAAGGCCTGTTAGGTCAATTGCAGTTATAAAAAATGTTACAGCAGTTAAGGGTCATACCTAAATCAAACAACGATAAATATTTGGAGAATTGGATCAACAGTTGTATTTTATTCGATGATGTCTTATTTTATTTGGACATTATGATCATTAATGATATTTTGATTATTGATTATTGATGATATTTTGTGTGTTTTGTTAAGTCATTTCCGATATTTCGTACACTGAAATACTACATCCGTTACTCCTACTTTTATTATTAATACAAAATTTAGTCTTATCTCCAACTTTCAATTATAATTGATAATATTTTTAATTTACTTTCAGAATATCTATACATGGTTGGAATGGTCAGGCAACTACTTGCTCGAATGCAGCAATAAAAGACTCTTACTTAGCAAAAGGGGACTTTAATGTCGTTTTAGTAGACTGGAGTGAATACGCACTTAACATAAACTACGTCCGTGTAATAAATGAAATTTACGAAATTTCACAAAAAATTATGAAATTCACTAAATTCTTGCATGACACATCAAATGTTAAATACAGTGATATGTATTTAATAGGCCATAGCCTTGGAGCGCATGTAGCGGGTGTAGCAGGAAAATTGCTCAAACCACACAAATACGGCGTTATATATGCTTTAGACACCTCAGGACCTATACATAAAAAATTAAATACTGCTTGGCGGCTAACCCCCTCGGATGCGATTTATGTAGAATCAATACAAACCGATTTAATGGTAATGGGATTTCCATCTGCATCTTTAGCGCACGCGTCATTCTATCCTAATTGGGGTTTGAGACAAACACATTGCCCGAATGCAACGGCTATGGAGCCACAATTCACCTGTGATCATTTTGGTTCATTATATTATTTTGCAGAATCTGTACAGAATAACAGAGCATTTGGAGCCATACGATGCAATAACTTCCAAAGTATTATGGAACATAAGTGTGGAGTGGAGTATAAAGAATATAATTCGAAAATTTTTATGGGTGGTGAACCCGCTGTACCAAAAAGTGGTATTTTTTATCTAAGCACTAGAAAAAACAAACCATTTGGTTATGGTCAAGCAGTAAAAATGAAAAATCCAGTTCAGCCCGTTGTAATGAAGCCCGTTGATTGAAAAAAATGTAATATAATATTATAATTTATTTTAAGACATCTGTTTTTATGATATTTAAGTGCTTTCTTCATACGTATATGATACTTACGTTAATGATTTTTAATATATTAAAATGTTATTGTCAATTACTTAGTAAATTAATAACTAAAAATAAGTCTGGAAACTTAAAATAAGTTATTATCACTTAAATCTTAAGGTGCAATTAGTCGGTAAATACCGTAAAAACTTAATAGCGTTTTTCCACTGGTTTCGTTAGACCAGTTAACTTACTTAAGCTTGCTTAAATTACTTAAATCTCAAGTAAGTTAACTGGTGTAACGAAGCTAGTGGAAACGAACTATAATCAATCTTAAGCAGAAACGAAATAAAAATTTCGTGTGTTGTCAAATATATTTTAGAGTCATAGAGAAGCCATATAAATATAGTTTTTTATATTATATATATACATATATATGTTTTGTATGGTATATATTCTTATAAGCCTGAGGTTTTATAGAATAAGACTTCGATTGACGAGTGTTTACCCAAAAAAAGGAATTGATAAATTGCCCAAAAGTTGTTTAGACACTTTTTCGGAGGTTTTCTATTAGATCAAGTTCAAACACTCAAAGAAAGACTAAATACATTAAAAAATAAATCCGTTTCTGTTGGAAAAAAGCGAAAGTAACATTGTCGTTTACATTACGTGAATGAATATTTAATAAAAGAACGTGGCCTTATCAATCAAGTTTTGTACTAAACCAATCAGTTTTATGTAATGACTACTATAATAGTACGTTTACACTGTAAGATTAAGAGAACGAGATTAAGTTAATCTGCATTTTTAATCTCCACCATTTATATTATACATTGGAGATAATTTTGACATTTCTCTTATTGTGTTTTGTTTTGTGTGTTTAATAAATTTCTATACATAAAACAATTAATCACAATTTTATACAAAAAAGTTGAAAAATAAATTTAATAAATAGTTTTATAACATTAATTCAACAAATTTTAGTTATAATTATGTACAAAACTATTATTAAACAAATGTATTAAAAATTTACTCACTTCGGCATTTGCAAATTTTCAATGTTTTGTTTTAAATAGATTTTGACATCTCTTTTCCAATTCCTCTAAGCTCGTAAAAAAATCTACGATATTAAATTATTTGCAGAGTTACACAGAAAAATAATCACCATATCTCAGGAGTTAAAAAATTAGTCTCGACCAAAAAGGAATAACTTTGCATGGCAAATCTAAAATTAAACGACGGGATTAGTATTTCAATTTCGATTATTGCTTTAATCTACTCTAAATCTCACAATCTAAACGCCGTATAAAACTATGCAAACTCCCAGAATTTTATATACAACCCTGTACTTTTTGCTTATTTCATACTACCATATTTACATTATACATCAATTACGTATTCAATTAATAAAAACAAAGATTATATTAAACACTTATTTCCTCAGTGCCTTTGTTTACAGCTCAGTTGTTGTTTGTATACATTATACATATAAAACATATAACACATAAATTAAATTTTTATAATTTCCCTTGTGGGAAATTTATTTTTAACGGTTGCATATGACATTTTTTGTATATTTTTCCTTACTTTGTATTTAAGTAAGTTAAAAGGTATGGAAGCTCTTTATATGATTTATAAAATTTATTTAGTAGGTTACATTTACTAAGTAAGCAGTGGAAACACACTAGGTCAGTTCCACAAGCTACTCGTGGTAACTTTGATTAACACTGTGTATACACAAGTGCGTTCCACCAACAAATTTTCGAAAAAATGAGGTCATCTGAGAGAGCGTAACATCCCTGTCGAAATTTGAAAATGCTACACAGACTATATTCATACATTTTATATCAAGTAGAGTTTGTGTGATGTGTGAATCAGCTGTTTTGGTTTGAATTTTAATTTTTGTATTGTTTATTTGCACGGCACTGTTCTCACCAGATTTTAAACAATGCTGTTTAATGAAAATCTGTGTAAAGAGCGTAATTTGGCACCTTATTTGTGTTACGCTCTCAGTGTGTACCTTCCTTGTGTTTTACTTGAGTTTTACTGCGAGTAGCTCGTGGAACAGACCTACTATAAATGTTTGCTTTGATATGTATGTGTTAAACTAAGTTTCTTATCAGATGCCGTGTCGGTGTATGGGCTGCTTACGTTATTACGTAGTCTGCATCAGCTGTTCACCAAAAGCATATTAAAACAGTATACCAAAGAAACCGAATGGTGCGGCGAAAAGAGTGAGGCGGCCAAACAATATTCTGGGATAAAATTGTTAGTGGATGAAGCAGAAAAATACACGTATACCAACCGAAAACAACCAAAAGGTGATTTTCCGACAAATTGATTAAAGTATTAAATCAGTGAAGAAGATAATAGACGTCATTGAAAGCACGAATCATTTAAATTGGCTTCGCTGTGTGTATTTTTCATTCAACAAATCAGAACTAAATTGACGTACAAACTTTATAGATCCAAGGTTTTGCGTTTCAAATTATGTGGAAGAATATTTTTTGCAATTTTGCCAGTGTGCTTTTGCTCAGTGTGATTATTTATGCAGATAAAGACTTCTTAAAACGATCACCACAGGAAATAAAAGATAAATCAACTAATTTGCCACCATGCAAATCGTGTACAGTTTTAGTGCAATCCCTAAAAGCGGTAGGTTCTATGACGTTCAACCTTCTGAACTCAATATTTGTTTATCCTTTATTGATACACTGATACACACTATCATAATTAGGGGTTGGATAGAACAAGTCGTGGGAAGCATGCCGGAGGTGATGCAGCTTGGGAGGAAGAAAAATTACGCTCATACGAAACAAGTGAAGTGAGACTGGTAGAGGTGCAAGAACAGCTGTGCAATGAGGTTCGACGTGGACAATCACAATGCCATAATATGGCTTCCGATCATGAGCATTTAATAGAAGATTGGTTTTATTATAAACAAACTGAGTCGCCCGATTTGTACGTCTGGTTATGTATTGAACAATTGAAAATGTGCTGTCCTGAAGGACATTATGGTGCTGAATGTAAACCTTGTGAGGACTGTAAAGGCAATGGTAAGAGTGTTCCCGAAACATTTTAACTAACCATACTTTGCATTCAATTGAAATTATGGTCTGTGTGTATAGGTAAATGCAAAGGAGGCGGCACACGCAAAGGTAATGGAAAGTGTGCTTGTGACTCTGGATACGCTGGTGACAACTGCAGTCAGTGTGGAAATAACTATTATGAAGCATTTCGAGATGATACCAAATTATTGTGTTCAGAATGTCATAAGGCTTGTGGTGGCGACGGCGGCTGTACTGGTGCCGGACCCAAAGGTATTTATAAAGGCACTTCATTTCATTATAAAAACGTATTCATTGAAATGCACAAATGCTCTGTTAGCTTGTCGCAAATGTAAAGAGGGCTGGCGTATGGATACTGATAAAGGTTGCCAAGACATAAATGAGTGTTTAGATACGCCACGCGCTTGTCGCCCAAATCAGTTCTGTGTTAATAATGAAGGTTCACATAGCTGCTTAGAATGTGACCGTTCTTGTGAGGGCTGCGATGGTGATGGCCCTGATATGTGCAAAAAATGTGGTGCTGGTTTTAAACTTAAGGATGGAAAATGTCAAGGTATGTAGTGAAATGGAAATTAGATTATTAATTTTTCGGGAGTACCTGAAATTAATCAGTTACTTATTGTCCGTGCTTGTGTTAATTTTTGTACGTTATTTTTAAGTGTCTGTCTTTGTGACAGTTCTATTAACTATCATTATGTAATCTTGACTTAGTCTATCGATTTAAATTATGTGTTTTACAAGTTTATTTAAAGTACAGGGGAAATCGGGTGTTTAAACAGATCAAGCACTCAAAAGTTTAGACTCAAATGCCAAAATTTGAATATACTCGAACCTTGCACTATTCGAATACATTGAAGCTTACTAACATCCACAGTTTGTTCAATGTTGTTGTAACAAGTCCAACAATTTCACGAGCTATTGGGAAGTGTAGAAGAGTGTCGAATATAACTGGAAAACAACTACTATATAAGATATAGATTTAAAAGGAGAGTGCAATTAAAAAAGTTAAAGCTGAACAGTTATTTCACTAAACGGTTTGAGCGATTTCACGTAAAGGTCGTACGAGTAAAAGTTCTTATCCACGCTAACAAATTATGGCAAGATCGTGAAAGTAAAACTTGTGAGCAAAAAGCGAGAGTAAAATAGTATGAAAGTTGCCAAAATCTTGCTCATGTGTAAACTCGAAGTTAGAAGTTAGAACACCCACTTTTATATCTTAAGTACATTGTTTATTGTTCAACTCTATTTTACAGAAGCTATTTGGGTATTCACAATCTAGGGTATCGCACTCAGTAACCAGTACATAGATTTTGTTGTTGCCGCTTTATGTTGTTAGCTGGTAGGTTACAGAGCGCGTTAGTTCAGAACAATAATACCATCATGTCTATATATTTTAAAAATGTATATATAGTTAATTAAGCAATTTTTAGAAGAAAAAAAATTTGTTTTAGTTTAGTTTGATGTTAGGTTGTTCTAGCACTCAATCAATTGTAACACCATTACCTAAGACGGGATTTTAACTGATTTTAGTTATGGAAACATATCGAAGAGGTCACAAAGCGTGGGATGCATTCAATTTTGACGCTTCAGACTTCCTTAGGAAGTTAAAAGCATAACTACCTAAGAAATTTGACTCGCCTTTAGCTAGATCTTCTTCTTCATCCCTATAACTTCTGAAAAGACGGCACTCCTATCTTGAGAGCATGTCTGTGAAATAACCATTTATCGCTTATATAAACCACAACCTTAGAAATGTCGTCCGTTCGAAAGCTGCGCAATTTTCTTAATTTTTTCCTATTTAGCTGTGGCCATATAACCCTGTCTAGTACTTGGAATGAAGTCCTGAGTACGCCAACTAATGACAATAATTAACTGATTATTTTAGACTTCAATTCAAAATTAATTTATATTTGTTAGCTATTTGTTGTTGTGTTAATTTAACTTTATATACATAGATATATTATTGTAAATATTATATATGTTTGTGTATATAATTTTATTATTTCATTTATAAAATATTTATAAAGTTACTTTCTTGTTCTTTGTTTTTTTTACTCCTTTACACTTCACTTTCATATAAACGCTCAACTTCAACAAATTGAAAAAAATGTATATATAGATGAATCGTCTGAGCAACGCGATACCTACGTGAATATAACACGTTTCCTTACCTATTTTGGTTTGTGCGTTGCCACATGCGTCATTTTTCAAAGTTCAACATATATCGCCTACATTGTGGGTGCGGCTGTGGCCATATACATTGCAGCCTCAGAATATTGGCTCAACACATCGCCAAATGGAGCGGTTAAACCACAAATCGATGCCAGTCAATTAGAGGAATTATTAATGAAGTCTTTATAAAATTAATTATTGAATTTATTAAATGTAAAATAATTTTTATGCTTTAAATTTAACGTACAAAATTACACTAATTTATTTAATTTCTGTGCTAATTATAATTATATTTGTTTCAATTTTAAATTTAAGTATGAAATAATAATTACATCTAAAAATAATTTAAAAAATATAGTTTAATTTAATTTATTCTATGAATAAGAAAATGTTCCAAAGTATTTATTTATTTATATATATATATATACACTTAGGTGTGCAACTATAATTTGTAAAAGTTTTAAGCATAGAAAGAAATTAATTCAATTAATTCAATTAATTCAATTTTTTTAAAAAATATGTATTTATTATAGTATTATCTATCATTTTCTTTTTCCAAACAAAAATGTAATCTCTTTTAACTATAATTTATTTTATTTGAAATGTTTTCTATGTAAAAGATGGAGAAGAAGTAGAATTGGAAACTGGCACAGAAACGGAAATGCCCAACAGTGATTTAATGGAAAATGTTGCTTCAATACCGGAAACAATCGAAAATCAAAAAGACTTCAAAGCTAAAGTGGAATTATAAATAAGTGACTTCATAAGAAATTTAGTTTGAAATGCATTTTTATTTCTAATACTAAGATAACATACGATACCAAATCGTTTTTTAAAGTAATTCCTATACCTCATTGGAAGATAGAAGTAATAATCACGTAATTAAATTATTACAGTCAAACGAAAATAATCAAGAAAATAATTTGTAAATGTCTTAAAAGTCTTAAAAGCTTAATTGTTGTGTTTTAAATATGTTCTAACTAACTGAAGACTATATCTAAAATAATCTGGTACTTTATTGTGTCTGTCTTTGATATCTGGAGGGATATTTGCGTTTCGATTTAAGGCTTTATTTATGCATCTTTTATAACAAGTTAGTGATATAATTTAAGGATATTTCTAAATAATTTAATTAAAGTTACAAATAAATTGTATTTTGTAAAAATAAATGTCGTAAATTTTAAATGTTCAAACATTTCTTACTTTCTTTCCTTTACAATGTCAATGTTTTTATTAAAGTATACATTTTAGTGCATATAATATATAAATATATATATCATATATATCATTTGTATAAAAATAAAACAACAATATTATTAAGGCAAATCAAGAAAATTTATAATTTGAAAATGCAAATAATAAAGTCTTAAAATGTAGATCCCCGATATATGAATGTATATGTCCATCTTCCAATAAATGTTTAGTGTGGTGTCCTTTTTGTAACTCGACTGAATGGAAATCAAATTTGCAGAATAAAATTAGCTTTATTATTTCGTTATAATTCTAAGATAACTCTAAATTGATAATTCGACCTGTTTTATAATTGTTCATATTGAATAAAATTATTTCGAAATTTATTATTTAAAAATTCCACATTTTTGTGTTTAAATTAAAATACATGCTTTAAAATCATTTCCATTGTTGTTGGTCTAACCAACGCCAACCTGAAAAGCAAGGACATAAATGGATCAAAAAACTTGCACAATGAGTTGGAGTGGAGAGAGTGAAAAGGTTTAAGGTAGAAGTAAATTTATTGAATTAAACCTGAGCCTAGCTAAAGCCGTCTTGCCAACTCAAAAGACCGGAGTTGCTTGAGTACAGATGGTACATTGGTGTTATGGCGATGGTGGCGTTATGAAGCGCAGCGCTGCTATTTATGTGTAACAAGAAAATATTTAGGCTATTCGACTGTGATAATATTCAAAAGAACTCATAACAAAAATTACAAGGTGATGTAAATGATAATGTTGATGTGATTTCAAGAGCACACAGGTCAACATCTGTAGCCACTCGTGTTTCCAAACGACCAAGTGCCTCTCAACAGTGACAAAATTACCAGTTCTTCATGTGTTATAACAGCAATATGTTGTTGAACTGGAAGAGAAATGTGAAAAGAGAGGTCTAAGTCTGTTTAATCTTGAATTATAGCTACAATGAAAAGTGCGGTCCTGATAAACAAACGTTAAGTATAGGTGTATGTAAATTAGCCATTTCTGCTGGTATGTTAAGTAACTTTTCTGCTATGTGGTATTTCAAAATGCAAATATATTTGGCTATTGCTGTAACCCATCTAAGAGCCATCTAACCAGCACATGTTCGTCTAAAAAACGAATTTACGACCTGACACCACTCTGACATAACAGTTTATAGTATCTCCAAAAATTAGCATATGAGTTTCCATGCTTTGAAGTTATTGATGAGCTTAATATAGTAGAAGTCGACTGCATTCCTAGGCCAATATATTGCGAAAACATGATACCGACAACTATAGGATGTTAGGATGTTACTGTTGGTAAGCAGTTAATATAATTTGCTTTAATTTTGGAGTTAATTTGGAGTCAATTTTGACCATGACTTCTTACTGCCACGGATTGATTAGGTGATTAAATAATTAAAAAAATTTTGTAAACAAAGGTGGCATAATTGCTATAACTGCTTTTTCTTTGCCTATAAGTATTCCTATTTCAACAATATAGCTTATCTGGAGATAGTATATGCAGTTGTTTTTAAGCTTTGTTGGGATGTGAACTGTGTTTAAATGCAAGATTTTCATGTACACGGGAATATCAGGCTGTTAAATTGACTTCGAGGCAACCAAGGGTTCTTTCGTTGTGCAGGCAGAATTCAGCATATCATAAAAAGTGATGTGTAATGTTTTATCACCATGAGCAAATGGCAATAGCTCTGAGACCATCATCAGCTAAGACATTTCAGTTCTTAATTTTTGACAAAGTGAGGTATCGTGAGACCTAATAAAAATGAAGGAGCAAAAGTAAAACAATTTTTCATATTATAATTTATCACATTTATTAACATTTGTATTTTTATAATTTTTTTTAAATTAAATATTAAAATTTACATTAAAAATTTTTGGTTTGAATTTCACATATATTACATTTAATAAAAAATTTTAAAAATATTTATATCAATACTTTGTAACTATTACAAATAGTTAGTTTTGATTTTGACTTCGTTTATTTAATAATTTACAAGATTTAATAATATAAAAATACGGAACGATTTTAAATTTGAATATGGCTGTATTCGAATTTAAAATAATTAATGATTTCACATTTGAATGTATTAATTATTAATTACAATTAAAACAGTTAATATAAATAATGTAAAAAATAAGAGAACATAAAGTTTTAATTAAAATACTGGCATTTGGACCTGCACTTAAAGGTTGATTATCAACATATTTAACATTGCACTTTTCACAACAAAATATAAGCTTTATAAAACTGAATTTTTATAAAAACCTGAATTCTAAAAAAAATTAAAAACATTCGGCATTTAATTCTAACTAATAAACTGACTAATAATAAAAACCGATATGATACAATAATTATTAAAACCCATTTAACAATATATTTAGTAACAACGAAGCAGAATTGTAAACTTAAAAACAAATAATTATAAAATTAATTTAACAAAATTAAGTATAAATCACGACTGAGAAACATTTTACACAATTATACATAACTCGAAATCGTCACCACGCATTGTAAGTGAAAATCGGATCCAATTATCGATATAACTTAAGTGGGAATGGGACCATATGAGAAGAACTATTTAACAGAGACCGAATAAAGGAGAGTGCGAAGAGGTTATAAAACAATACAATCATCGTCTATAATAAATTAACTGTATTTGACAGCAGCAGAAAGTGATTTACACCATCAACTGATTTACCTACTTCAATGTGAATAAAGATGAGCTCGCTTAAGTCGCTGGTGGACCCGTTGGGATAACGAAACCAAGTTTCAAGATACTAGCTGATCATTGAAATCCGTCTGAAAAACCAATGTGTCGATCTAATAAAATGAACAATGTTTTTAATGCATAAAGACTTAAAAAAGTAAAAATCTATAGTGCATATGTATCTTCCGACAAGTGTCTGTCAGTGACGAAGTAGATCAGTAAAGCTTTTTCTCTGACTTACAACTTTACCAATAGTCAATACAGAGTGAACTCGGTGTGATATACCAAAAGGCTTTAATACGTGTCGGTTAAACGAAGCTAGTAATGTTTTTAATGCATGCATTGACACCATTCTACGTATGCCAGAAAGTATTTGAGCAAATGAGTAAGGTTTTTTTTTTCTCCTTTGATTTAGAAATTTGACAGTAGTTACTAAATGGTCCCTCAAACCAGTTGACATGCCTAACTATTAGACAGTGTTTTATCTAGACGAATCAGTTGTTTTGTATCTATGAGATTAAAGACGAGCTTACTTAAGCTGTAAGTGAGCCCGTTGAGTACTAAAATACTAGATGATCGATGGAATTTTGGGCAGCAATAGCTATATTTCCACCCGTTAAACTACTGTATCGATTTAGTGAAATAGACAATTTCTTTAATGCACGCATTTGGTTTCTGAAATAGAGACTTAAGGACGTAAAAACCTACAGTGCATAGACGCCCTCTTGCAAATGCCGGGTAGTGACAGCAGTTAAGTAACGCTTTCCTGTTATTCCTCTGACTAACAATTTTGACCGTAGTCACTGAAGGATCCCCGACCTAGCAGAGTAGGGGTACTTTGCATAAAAGTCCGTTATATTTTTTAAGATATGAGAAGTTAATTGGTGCTATAAAATAGACAGGTTCCATGCTAACGATTAGGTTAAAAGATTGATTGTCTGATCTATATCAATAAAGACTGTTACTGTGCACTCCTTCAAAGCAGAGTGTAGTGTTTTTTTAAGAAAATAAATTTAAAGGCCAATTTTTGGATCACTATGCAGAAACAGTATCAACTATTTGCAAGTTTTTTAGTGACATCTTTTCAGATTTTTTTTACTTGGCTTTAAAAACAATTTTAAGCATGACATGATCACGCAGAAAATTTAGAATAGATGACTATGCAGCAAAAATAAGCTTCAGTCAATTTTTTCAAACATGTGAGTTCAATACAATTTTACTTCAAATGTTTCTCAGATTTGTCACCCATTGCAACTAATCTTATATGCATCACTATTATATTTAAATGTAGTTTGATTTAAATAACAATCTTAAGAGAATAATTGCCATCATAAGTTGGCATATAAGGAATACTCAGTGATTTATTGAAATTATGCAAACGCAATACCAAAATATGTTTTCACAACTTCAACGTTCGCATAATCTCCACATATATTATACAGAACTATTTAATATAGTTATTTTTGAAATGCTACGAATAACTAAATCCGATTATTTCTTCACTGATTTTTCAATATTCCATGCGTAAGGATTATAGGCAAACATTCGTTTTAGCCTTCTACAACAATTTTGTATTAAGCAAGTAAGTTTGTTAATGATGAAAGAATGCACTTTAGTATGGACGATACTAATGATGGCAAATATAACATACACGTAAATTAATGTAGGTATGTGTAATACAAATTCAAAAATACTACTTAAGATACTTAATAAATTTTTGCCTATCAAATATGTGCTGTTGAAATATTTTTCTTAAATTTCCCTCACCTCAAAACTTGATTGCATATCTATGATTTTAAACTTATTTATGTATTTAAATACAAAATAAATACTTGTGTAAATAAAATACTTATCAAAATATATGTGTAAAGTTTTGAGCTTCTAAACTTGAACAAATTCTGTTGGCATTTTAAGTCGATACAGTTTTCATTTCGTTTCTTATGTCACAGCAGAGCTTATTTAAAGCCAATCACAAGTCATTGTATGAATATATAACATGTTACAAATGTAGTTATCTAGGAACGCGTGTTTAACGTACTTTGACTAGTACTAGCTGACATACCCAGTTCCTCATCGGATTCATCAGAATCTAATGGGCTAACACGTATCGCTTGATACCATTTATTTGTCAGATCCGCCATTTGAGACTTACACTCATGTAACTCTTGACTGTTGAAACGGCGCGTAAAGAATGGTATAAAGTATTTCCGATCCAAACGACCAAAGCCATCTATGCGACTATGCGCGAAAGAGACATCCTCTTCTTCTGTAAGTTCGGACAGATGTTCTGAATCGATAGCTTGTCCCCACTCACGTGTCTTAGACAATGATATATATTTGGAGCGTTTTCGACGTGAGGGGTTATTGCTATCTGTTGTGCCAGCATTGCGTGTTGATCGTGTACGACGTTTTTTGCCGGGTTTCAAATACTTAAGCAATGGCATAGTGGAGCCACCAAATACCAATGTTGTAAATAACACAATTATCAAAGTGGTTGTTATTATAACGTGTCTCGTTTCATCACTTTCGATATCCAAATGCAAAGATAGCGCATACGAAATGGCCCCGCGTAAACCGGAAAACCACATAATGAATTGCATTTTATTATTTATTTTATGTTCACGAAATTTATTAACCAAAAATGCCAGTGGAAATATATTGCATGCGCGACCGATTAAGCACAGAACTATAGCCCAAATGACAAATGATAATTCCACTTGATGTTTAAACGAAAATATGGCTAAGCCTAAGTAAGCAAATACACACGTCTCAGCTATAAAAGATAATGTTCGCATAGTCTGTTGCATCGTTATTTGTGTAACAGTTGAGAGATTGAAATGTGTATAGTGTGACATAACGATACCACAGAAAAGTATGGCCATGATGCCGCTTAAATGTATGCCCTCCGCTAGCACATATGGTGCATAGGTGAACATTAACATAATTGCAAATTCTAAAGACGGGTGTTTACGTAAATCAATATGTTTTAATAGCAAGGCTGATATTAAAGCAAAAATAACACCAATGCCTGCTGAGGCAAAGAACATTTCGCAAAATGTTTTCAGAGCAGATATAATGGCCTCACCCGTTGTACCTTTAGCGTATGATGGACTATGCGCCGATTGTGTTATAGTTGTTGTTAATACAATAGATATAGCATCATTAAGTATACTCTCACCAAATACCAACATATTCAATACAGGATCTACATCGAGTGCATGAAATATGGCAACAGTTGCAACTGGATCTACAGCAGATATAAGCGATCCAAAAGCAAATGAATCCGAAAAATCCAGTCTGGAAATAAATAATTATTATAGAGTGTAAAGGTACAAGGTCTTGAGATAGTGTTAACATACAAAATCTTAAATGTACATGTATGTATATGTTTTATATGAAAAAACATAAATAAACAGCCAAAAAATTTAGTGTAAATATACTGAATCAACATTTTATGCCTTTTTACCTGTAAGCAACTTTTGCTAATCCTAATAAGTATATACCCGCACCGATTACTAAAGCTGATATAGTTGTACCAAATATGGCAAACACCAAAATCGAACCAATATTTTGAAAAAAGTTCCCCTTATGCAAATTATAACCAGACTCAAAAATTATAGGTGGAAGAAGCACTAAAAAGAAGCCTGTGGGTGAGAATACTTCTTCACGTTTCCAACTCGCATTCTCGCCCGACATCACCTTAAGCAACAAGCCAATTAGTGCACCCAAAAATACAACAACAATGCTTTCGGGCAAATATTGAAAGCCAGTTTGTAGCATCGAGTGTATCAGCAATATGCCGAGCATAATAACGCATATAACAAAGAAAAGGGACAATGACGAATTGTGCTCCTGTTCTACAGCATGATGATCCGGTAATGGCGGATCTGCTGTAGGCGTTGTGACGTTTTGTGTTGTGTTCAGTACTATAATAGTTGGTTTTATTGTTGTTCCGTTTATACTTGAGGTATTTGTATTATTTGGCAAATTTATTACATTTACATCCGCACCGGTATTAAGTCCATCTTTTTCAATTATTACTGTTTCTGGTGCATTTTGTTTTATTTTCTCTTCCTCTGGTGGAACGATTTGTTCGCTTTTTGGTGACGTTGCTTCATTAGCCCTGATAACAACGCTACCACAAGCCAATAACAAAAACAGTACTAAGTGTTTTGGCATGTTTTATATTAAATTAAAATTACTAACAAATTTATTGATATTTAATATTTTATTCTTTCGCCCATTTGCACTACAAAATTTCATCACTACTTATTAACTTTCAAGAACATTCTTACATGTTCGCAATATCGCAATATTCCTTTTCGCAACATTCGCATTACAACACGTCAGCTGTCAGCTGTCATCTGTCATTTCTCAGCTGTCATTTGTGAAATGTCAAAGTTGACGATACGAAAAGGTTGTAAGCTATTTTTGCAATTACATATTTACTTTATTCGTGTTATTTTAAATATTTTTATGAAACGAAATGTTGTGATACCGTATTTTTGCTTCTTTACGTTATTTGAATAAAAAAATATGTACGGGAAGAATATTTGATTTAATCTATGTACGTGGCTTGGATGTAGTTTTCAAAAACTTGGCGCGCATTTATTAATTCAAATATGTCGCGAGATCTAGACATTTATCTCTAAAATTCGTTACTTCAATTATCTATATTTTCAATATAATCACAATTTCAAATCCCAAATTAGTGCAGAACATCTTGATGAATTATTATACACTCTCCATAGATTTTAACTAAATTTGGATTGTATAGTTGTCTATGTACATCATGAATGTTTAAACAGTTTAAACATACATATGTATATGTATCGAAAAATAACAAGAGTGTAATAATAAAAATGTTTAGAAAACATTACTAGCTTGGAGATATGGTATTACATTTATGTCGTTACAACTGCCTACTGAAACGAATGACATCAAGAACTGAGGGAGAACACGTGAACTTAAATAGGAAGACTAAGTTATGTTGTGTCACTCCGTTGTCATTCATTTACATATTTGCTTTGGAAGGATTATTTCAAAAAATTAAGCTCTGTGCGGAATACTTCATTTTCTTTTTTGCTTTTAACAGCATCCCAAAGTAAGCAAGTGATCGTGATCGTGGAGTACATCGTTGAACAAAATACCAACAAACTACGCTCCCATTCGTTTGAAGACGACGATGCAATATTTTCTGAAACTACATTGAGAATAACTGCTCAATAATAGAAGACTCCAGAATTTGGCTTTTAATAATAGAAGAGTATTTATTCTATACGAATCTATTCTAAACACGAATAGAATAGATTTATTCTCTTTATTATTATCTAGATCTACTTCTCGTTTTCACTGTTTGAGTTGATGTACAACATATGGACAATATATTTCAATCGTTTAAATTGTTGTTTTTTTCGTAAATTTAAAAAACTGTAATATGATCTCAGGGCTAAATATTTACTCCAATTCTAAGCGATACCAAAAATTTAACAAATTTGATGTAAAAAAAACTTGTTCAGTTAAATGTTTGTTTAAATTACTTGAAGACATGCAGCACCCTTTACGATGCCCTTAAAATGATCAGAGGAATCGAGACGTAAACACTGCCATTTAATTAGATGTAAATGACTTGTTAAAAATAAATTTCCCCTACAACTCATGTAATTTTGAAATTAGAGGAACTGCACGTGTATACTTAACTTAAGGCATTTATAAATCTAATTCTTATCAAATCTTCTTGAAGTACCGCATACAAAATCAATTTGTCTGGCGCTGATTATTTCAGTAGACAGATATTCCGCTTTCTATGAATAATAATTATTACTTAATATTAATTATGTGAAAATTATGTAGACACAAACGTATTTTCTAAAAATATTTTTATATAAAATCTTTTGACCTTTTTTAAGTGCAGTCTCATCAATTGTGTAAATAACGGTACCGACTACAAACACTATTCTTTTTGTCAATGAAATGAATTTAATGGGTAGATGTTCTAGACAGTTTTTCATATATTTAAGACTTCTTATAATATTAAAAACGAATCAAGTAGATAATGAATTATGTAAAACATATCTAAAAGGAAAAAATGCTCTTATAGAAAGGAAGCAAGCGAAGAGTTAATTAACTAAGTAAGTCTCAGCACAGTTCTAAGGTTTTATCGATTTAAGACGATGCAATAAATTATATTTATAAAGATCAGTGTAATAAAAATTTGAATATGACTATATGAAACAGAACACACTTTCATTTTAGATCAATATCAAGGAAATATAGGGGTTTGAACTATTTCAAAATCATCGTACGTCTTCAAAATTTTACCAAAAATTAGTGCGCCGTAATTAATGTAACTTATATAATCTTATATGAATCCTAAATTTTACAAGTGTAGATAGGAATAGGAATAGGAATGAACGGGGTACTAGCTCCCAACGGAGCGTAGCACTGCGACCAGATTGATATTTTGTGCTGCAAAAGATAAACAATCCCAAAACGAGTACGTCACACGAGCCCCGATAGTATAGCAGATGGTATATAGTGACGTCAATAAGGTCTTTAAAAATTCTTAGTACCAAATTTTAACTCAAGTAAATCAAACCAAATCAAACTTTAATTTTATTAGCAATAAAAAAAAAACTAGATTTTATTATTTAGATTATATGTCATTTCTGGGGTAAATTATAGTTCTAATTATTTCGACAAATATCATTTCGAGTACAAATTTTCATTATTTTACCACGAAAATTGAGTGACTGGTTTGAATTGAGATATATCAATTCGGTTTGTCGAGCTAATCAGATATATGCTTTACTTTATAGGATGTCCAATTTTTGCTTCATTACATTGAAATTGAAAAGAAAATTCTATATGGTTTATTGAGCTGTTCAAGAATGTACTCAATTGCGTTATAATATTGTAAGTGGATTTGATATACCTTTTTCAATACGCACGTGAACGGTCTATCCATGCAGAATATGATGAACCTTCAGATGTAATAATATACCCGTAATTGTGGTTTTTTTTCGTACCTGTCGTTTTAACTCTTCAAACTGAAAGGAAATATTAGGAATGTAACCAATATAAGTTTTGTTCTTATCAAATATTTGTTTTCTAGCACCTTTGAAGTTAAGTATATTTTTTTTTTATATAAAAAATTGCTGACACTTAGTTTTCAATCTTGTAAGTCTTGCGGTTTTAGACTGTCCTATTATGTCTCATATTGAGTATAGACAAAATATGTGAAGTCATATTCATTCTGAAGTGATTATTATTGTTTGAGAGCATCGACAAAAACATATGTACATACAGTGTGAAGGGTCTAATACCAGACAGCAATGACTATGCAAATCTGACTAGATGCAATAAAATTATTCGTAATGATCATATTATGCACATTAATTACACAATTAATATGGCATGTAATAAGTATTAATTGTTAAATCGTTATAAATGGATTTGGTGTTTCTGTTATCGGTCAGAAAATCACAGCAGTATTAAGATTAAATAGCCCGGAATCGTTTCGAATAAGATTTTGGTGCATTGTGAAAAGTTTATGACATTGGATTTTTTTTGGAAAATTGTTTTTTTTTTAATCGTGATTATATGAAGCAATAAGTTTTCATGAAATATGAAACATCATTAAACTCTATTTCACAAATAAACATATTACGAGTCTAAAATTCTATTTCGAACTCCAAAACAAAAACAGGAAGGAGACGATTCACAGAATTTCTGAAACGCAATGACTTTTCACTTTCTGAAATTTTTTGTCGTAATTGTTTATTAAATTTATAACTAAAAATTGTTAATTCTATATTTTTCTATCGCACTTTATATACACTTTATGCGTCCACACACACAAACCGTCATATTTATATATTTTTAGGAGGTTAATAAACTATTTTGCGGTGGATGAGAAAAAGAAATTTGAGTCGTAACGATTTCGTCATTGCTTTAAGTGATATTTTGGATTTCACTTCTGGAAATTTAGTAGATTTGGAACAAATTTTTTGCATTATTAGCATTTAAGCACGGAAATTTTGTTAGGGAAGTAAGAATATATATCAAATGAAAATAATTTGCTTAGTTGGTGGAAATGAGGGAATGACATGCGATATGAGTGATATTAATATATCATTTTGAACTTTGTAATAACACTTCAGTCTGATTTCGTCGGGTGGTGACCCTACAATATTGTTGACTCAATCAATAAAAATTTATTTTTATTTTACTACTTGGAAAACAACAACATACTTGGGATCGGTACCATATGTCTATTCTGATTCAGTATAATTTGTAAATATTAATATGCCTTCAGTATAATACAATATATATTACACTTAAGGAGCATTTTGATGGCGCTTTTAGAAAATAATATCTCTCTTTTCTTCATTTCCTACACCCTTAAGTATTTTATTATAAACAAAATGGATAAAAAAAATATAACATTATCGGGTGTATTATAAATCATATTAATACATATAAGTTGGTGTACACAGTTCTGTCTCAATGCGTCTCCCGTGGGGTCTGAAATCTGTCGTAACTTTTATGTTATTTTTATTCATATTAATTTTGAATTTACAACCGGGATACCTTCAGTCAGTTATATATATTAACCTGGTATCTGAGATTGCAGACAATATTGCAATCAGTCTTTGATTTAATATTGTGTAAACGTCCTGCTTTCTACCTCCAGTAATAGAGATTGTCTATCACTTTATCAAATGGAGAATATTGTTCAGCTGTAAGTCAATGCGTTTTAGTATAATATAGCATATGTATATTTCTATATTACTAATACGACAATCTCTATCTAAATCTTTTCTCATTAATTTTATAATATCAATCACATCTCACGAATTACTTACTGCAATCTATGTATATATGTATATATGCATATATATATATGCTTTTCGAAAAGGTTTTCGATCGAAAAGTATGCATTTCAATGATTCATTAGTTCCATTTTTGTGTTTTGAACTCCATACATAGTTAATGACAAAGCTATTAACTTATGAAATAAACAAGGTTTAAAGCGCAAGGCTCAGTTAGTCAGTACGTACCATTAGAAATTAAGCGAATTTAACACAAAGCGAAATGGACAACTAACCATACCTTCGCTCTTAGTTATTTTTATTTAATAAGCATTGCACAATAAAAACTACGCTTAAAGGGTTCTTCTGCAATTGAAACTGACTAGTAAACTGATCGTTTGAATTTATTATCACGAGAATTTCTAAATTCAGGTAGAGTTGCTATATTTGACATAAAAGAAAATAATAATATTATTTCAAGTTCATCAGTTTCAGCTGTA